TTACAGCTTTTTATATACTGGGAAACCTTTAGGGCAAATTTAAAATATGTAAGGAGAAAGTTTTTTTTAGGCCACACAGAATTTAACAATTCCTCCTTTCCGTCAACTTCTCAATTTTGAGAGGATGATTAATTTTGAGGTTGCCCAAAACTTTAGGCATTGACATCACTTTTTATCGTTATAAATAGAGTTATTTGGTCTCTTATCCCGTTAGAAAATAGCAGAACACTGGGTTTTGTAAGGTGGGAACAAGGAAACAGAATAGCAAAACAAAACAAAATAACAACAACAACAAAACCAATTGGTTATCATCAAATTATTATTATTATTTTTTTAGGATAGAGTCTAGTCTCACCTTGTCACCCAGGATGGAGTGCAGTGGCACAATCTTGGCTCACTGCAACCTCCACCTCTTGGATTCAAGAGATTCTCCTGCTAGTGTGTGCCACCACACCCGGCTAATTTTTGTACTTTTAGTAGAGATGGGGGTTTGCCATGTTGGCCAGGTTGGTCTTAAGCTCCTGACCTTAGGTGATCCATCTGCCTGGGCCTTCCAAAATGCTGGGATTACAGGAGTGAACCACTTTGTCCGGCCCAGATTACTTTTTTATAAGGGATAGAGCAGAAGCAACTTCCTTATTATGCTTGAATCTCCTGTTTTCAGGAGAAGAGAAAAACTGGTCTATTTTGGGACTTGTATTTTTGAAGTTTTAGTTTGATTTTTTAGCACTTAGCATTAGCATGAGTGACTCCATTTTGGTTTGGTCGGGTCTGCTTGGGCCTAGTGCAGGAGCTCAGCCCAAAACAATGGTCTCCCATAATTTTGTTTAACACATGAAATTCAAATTCAAACTTATAGACATTTGCTTTCTCTCTTATTATATAAGTACTACACAATGTCCTCAAATTTGCTTTTTGATCTGTAAAGACTAAGATCTTTACCATCTAGATTTACAGAAAAGTTTGCAGATCTCCTGGTTTAGAAGAGCATGGGATTTTGTGTCAAGCAGGTTTGGCTTGAGCCTAAGGGCTGCCATTTACTGATTGTATGACTTTGAGCAAGATACTTGTTTTTTTCTAAGCCTCAGTTTCCTCATCTATAAAACGGGTATACAAATAGTATTTACCTTGGAGAGTTAAATGTAATAATGCATTTAATGTGCTTAACACAGTACCTATCAAATGCCTAAGGGCTCAACACATCGTTATTGTTATTTTTGTCGTTTTACCCTAAAGTAAATGAAATGAAACAAAATAGCAAAGCTAAATGAGGGAGAAATTTTAAGTTACATCAGAAACTGTAATAGATTCTATAATAATTAATAATTTTACTTATTTAAAAAGGCATTTAAAATTTAACAACAGTGGCAAAGCCTCACGCAGAATAGATAACCCTGTTACAAGTTTAAAAAAAAAAAATCAGCCAGGTGCAGTGGCTCATGCCTGCAATCTCAGCACTTTGGGAGGCTGAGGCAGGTGGATCACAAGGTCAGGAGTTTGAGACCAGCCTGGCTAAAATGGTGAAACTCTTTCTCTACTAAAAATTCAAAAATTAGTCAGGCGTGGTGGCACACACCTGTAATTACAGATACTAGGGAGGCTGAGCAGGAGAATCACTTGAACCCAGGAGCCAGAGGTTTCAGTGAGCTAAGATTGTGCCACTGCACTCCTGCCTGGGCAACAGGGCAAGAACTCCTTCTTGAAAAGAGGGAAAAAAAAAAAACTAATGACAGGACTCCACGGAATCCATGGATGAAAGGTTTACGGAGGAGGAATATGAAACAGACTAAAGGAAAAATTTTATCCAGCTATAATTTTTATACTTGTTCCTAGGGCAGGACTTGAAACTGCTAAAGACAGCATTTCTCTGCAAATGCACACAGACACCCCATTTTGATGCACAGATAGGCCATTATTTCTTTTCAGAATAACAGCTTTATTGAGATAAATTTCACACATGATACAATTCACCAATTTAAAGTGTATGATTCAATGATTTTAGTATAATCAGATTGTACTACCATCACCATAATCAATTTTAGAACATTTTCATCACTGCCTAAAAAACTGTTCTAGTGTCTCCCCAGCCCTCAGCTCCTGGCAACCATTAATGCACTTTCTATCTCTATATATTTGCCTATTCTGGATATTTTATATGAATGGAATCATACAACATGTGGTCTTTTGTGAATGGCTTTTTTCAGTTAGCATACTGTTTTCAAGATTGATTTGTTTGTCCTTTCTCCTGTTTGTTGCCAAATAATTTTCCATTGTATGGATAGATCACATTTAGTTTATCCATTTGTCTCATTGTGTTTGTCTATCAGTTGCTAAACATTTGTAGTGTATTTAAGCTTTGGCCAATGTGTAAAACTTATTTTGCTCTGACTGAGGTTACATACTGTTAGAACAATGCTATTTGGTCAACTTGAGTGAGCTGGTAGGTTACAGTTTGCTCATTGTTAGAGACGAGACTTTAGACCAGACTGGACAACATAGGAAGACACTGTATCTATCAAAAAGAAAAAGAAAAATTAGCCAGATATAGTGCCATGTGACTGCAGTACCAGCTACTCGGGAGTCTGAGGCAGGAGGATCACTTGAGCCCAAAGGTTTAGGATTGCAGTGGGCTGTGATCGTGCCAATGCATTCCATCCTGGGTGACAGAGTGAGACCCTGTTTGAAAAAACAGAAATAGGCATTTTAGTATAACATTCAGCCAGTGCCATATAAGGGGATCTACAAGAATGTACTTTAAAAAATACGTAAAAGAAGGTGGTGAGGACTGTAATAGGTACTATGCAGGCAGTAATACAGTGCTGAAGGGACACCAAGAAAATAGTGAGATGCCTGTGGGTTCAATGTTACTCCTTCATTTAGGTTGCCAAAAAAAAAAAAAAAAAAAAAATCAATACTTCATAGCATGCCTGAAACCAAAAAGCTTGTGAACCATTAATTCTATCTATTTTGGGCCGTTCATCATAGCTTCTCTCCTTTGGTAGAATAAAGTGAACTGAACCACCAGGCCTAAGGTGTTTGCCTCATTTCTGCCTCAGCTGGTTCATGATTACATTGTCAAAGCTAGCAAAGCATTCAAGTCTGATTTCTCAGACTGAGTGTATGTGTGATTATAATATCATTATACTCATTTGTACAAAAATGAATCCTCTCCCTTAACTGTATTCTACAAAAGGTGTGATAAATACTGCAAAGAAAAGTTTTAAGTTATATATCTATATCAGTAGAAATAATGGAATACACACGGTATATTTTATGGGGAATTTCAGAGAAGGAAGGAAAAGTCAAACTTTAATTGGCATCAGGATAGTAGTGAAACATTCTACTTTTGCATCAGATAGATTTTTATGACCTAACCTGGACAAGTAATTTAACTCTTGGTGCCCCATGTTTGAAAGAGGGATAACATTTCACAGGGTCGTTCTAAGAATTCAATATTGCTAAAACACATGAAAAGATTCTCAACCTTGTTAGTAACCAAGGAAATGCAAATGAAGACCATAATGAAGGCTTCTTTTGTACTCAATGGATTGGCAAAAAGTTAATGTCTGATAATATTGACATATAGACCAATGAGCTCTCTGACACTTTTCTGGGAAAAATGTATCAATTTGCACAAACATTTTGAAAAAATATTTGTGCATTTTCTTGTAAGTATAACATTTGCGTAACCGAAGACCCAGCAATTCAACTCTTACACAGACACCCAACAGAAAGTTGTCCACACACACATCATGAAAAATGTTCATAGCAGCCCTGTTCATAAGAGGAAAACCTGGAACAATTGAGAGGAAACGAATAAATTGCCATGTAGCCACACAATAGAATACAAGACAGCAGTGATGCTGAAAAATATAGCAAGCCTCAGGAGTTTATATATTATATGGATAATTTTATAAAGTTCAAAAACAAGCAAAATTAAACAACATATTATCTAAGTACATATGTGATATACGTGATAAAACTAAAAAGAAAAGAGGAAATGATCAGCAATCCAGAGCCAACTCATGATTATGGTTACTATCTTATGCGGCAGGCTGTGGATTGGAAGCTGGAGCAGTGCACATAGGTAGCTGTAACTATGTAACTTACCGGTAATGTTCTTTGGTTAGAGATGAGGTAAAAGGAGTTCACTATAAATTTATATTAGAAAAAAGAGCTATCTATGGATTAGTTATAAGAGAGTGTCATGAACCAGCAAATATAATTAATGAACTTAGGCTACCTGAGGTCTAAATAAATAATGAGACAAAATAAAAGTGATGCATGAATACCAAAAATTTGGATATACATATATAATATGTAATAATAAAGAAAGTGTCACTGGTTATCCTTCAGGTAGAAAAATTACAATTAACATTGTAATGTTATAACCTTCCATTCTTTATGAATAAAAACTTTATTTTTATTTATTTTTGAGACGGAGTCTAGTTCTATTGCCCAGGCTGGAGTGCAGTGGCACAATCTCGGCTCACTGAAACCTATGCCTCCCGGGTTCAAGCGATTCTCCGGCCTCAGCCTCCTGAGTAGCTGGGATTACAGGCGCCGGCCACCACACCCAGCTAATTTTTATATTTTTAGTAGAGACAGGGTTTCACCATGTTGTCCAGGATGGTGTCGGTCGCCTGACTTAGTGATCCACCCGCCTTGGCCTCCCAAAGGGCTGGGATTACAGGCGTCAGCACCGTGCCCGGTTTATTATTATTATTATTATTTTTATTAAGACAAATCAAGTTGATAAAGTCGATGCCCTGTAGGAACTGGTTAGGTCAGGCTACCCACTCCAGATTTCCAGCAGCCTGTCCTCAGCCCTACCAACAGTCAGTAGCTTATTAAGGCTGCAGGCGCCAGTGGCACCTTCAGACAGGTTCAAGGCGCCCTAAGGACCCTATGCAGCCTCGCTCAGGTTCACAGAACGCGACCAGATGCGTGTGCAGCTTCCGTCGGGGAGAGCCCACCTCCTAGGGGGGCGTGGCTAAGGGACGAGGCTGTTCTAGTTTGGAGCCCAGGTAATCTGGGTGGGATCAGGAGGAGCTAGCGTCGCGATGTGATGACGTCAGCCCTGGCCTGGCCTGGTGTGGCGCGCTGGGCGTGCGCGGCTGCGGTTCGGCGTGTTGGTCCCAGCAGTTCAGCTGAGTTAGGGACTTGGTGTAGGCCGGAATGTTACAGGCTGTTGGAGCTGTGGATGAGGAAGAGGATCCTGCGGAGGAGGATTGTCCTGAATTGGTTCCCATTGAGACGAAGCAAAGCGAGGAGGAGGAAAAGTCTGGGCTCGGCGCCAAGATCCCAGTCACAATTATCACCGGGTATTTAGGTAACTAACCATCCCGGTCACAAAATGCCGCGAACTCTGGTGTCCTGGGATTTTGGGGGCTGCCGGTGCCTCTTCTCCTGAGGCATTGGGGCATCGTGACCGAGAGCAAATGTCTTTGAGGTAGGGGCTGGGTCACTTGCTCCTCGTTTGGGTTTACGTCTCTTCTCGGGAGATTCCTTTCTAACAAGACTTTGAAGCTCAGACACGCCCCCTAATTATCTCTGTGCCGTCTTACCAAGTTATGTTACCATTCTGACGCTCATCTGCTTCATTGAAAATGAAAAAATACCTGTCACCTGTGAAATGGGACTGGAACCATTAAAGGTTTGCCATTAAAGGACGTCCCGTTTGTAAAATCCCCGACACGAATGGGACATTCCTCAGTAGGTTCCCCTTCCCCACGAGCCAAAGTCCTCCAGCCAGTTAGCGGGCAGTGCTCCTATCTCAAACACTTTTTAAGGTCTGTTTGCAAACCACTGCGTAGGAAAGTAAGAATAAAATCTCTGTCCTCCAAGACTATTTCTCAAACTACAAAAGTTTAGGAGTGTACCGGGTTACTCGAAACCACAAGTTTGTGCACTTGATAGTTTCGTGAAGGGCGGTTTATGCACTTACACTAGAAGTTTGTTACTGGAAAAGTTTGAGAAACATATTTTTAAACCTTACAGTTAAATAGAAGGGCTAGAACAAATATATGACTTCTAAGTGTGGAAGAAGTTAAGAAATGTAAATAAAGTGATCCTGTTTCAGGGAAATAATATTTCTAGGTGCTGCTAGGAGGAACTTTTATGTAAAAATAAGAAATCACTGGTGTTTTCTTTCTTTTTATTTTGTAGACTGTAAGTTTATTCCCGTTTTTGCTCAGAAATAATTTTATAAAGGAATCGATTTTTGGCATTTCCCCACTTATTCAGAGGGTGCTCTTCTGAGAAGATGAACAAATTTCTTGTCTAAAACAATGTATTTCAAAGCTGCCCCTCGGGCCTTTTCCATGTTGCTCACTGGTAGGTCAGTAGCTCATTGGAGAAAATGATCTGAAGCTCAGGAATGAGGACTGATGCCGGCAACCTTGTTGCTGAATCTAGGGATAGTTTCACTCCTTATCGCTGATTATTTTCCCTTTTTGAAACACTTTTCCCTTGGCTTCTATTACATTTTTCTTCTGATTTTTCCACCTGCTTTTCTGGCTTCATTTTAAGGCTCCCCCACCCTCCGCCACCCTCTTTGTCCATGTTTAGCTACACACCTGTGTCATTTCTGTTTTGATATTCTGCAACTTAACATGTCCGAAACTTCATCCGTTACCATCCCGCCAAATCCTGCTCCTGTGATTCCAACCACTTGGAATACTCTAAAAGCCGCCTAACTAATCTGGAGTCTTGCTGCCCTTTAATTTATTTGTTGTGTGTTAGCCTTAATGATCTTTATAAATGCCAATCCGATTGTGTCACACCCTTCAGTGGTATCCATATGGGTTAAAGTTCAAATTCCTTAACATGAATTACAAGGACCTGTGGGATCTGGATCTTGCCAAGCTTTCCAGCTGGCAAAATGGCCCTGCACAATGAACTGTTACTTCAAAGGTGCCAAGTATTTTAGCCCTTTGGAATATGTACTTTTTTTACTGTTACTCTTCTGGCTAGATGTCCCTTTTAGGTTCTCCATAGCATTTTGTACATCTATTGAATGTGCCACCCTGTCACATAATTGCCTCCTTCTTCACTGAATTCCTCTCCTTCCCTTGATATTTCTAAGCTCCATAAAGGCAGAGACTGTCTTTTTCACATTTTCACCAAGGCCGAGCATAAATCGGTTGCATAGTAGAAACCTTCGAATGAATGAACTATGTCTTAAAGTGTTTTTCTTCATAATATGGTTAAAAAGCCCTAGTAAATCTTCTGTTAGAAGGTTTCTTACATTCACTGTTTAATTTCAGTTTTCACGTCACTGCCCTGTGAAACACTCATGTTCAGGGTCTCTGTCTCAGGCTTGGACTGGTTTTAAGATTTTCCTCATTGCCCTGTCTCCTTAAGTCTCTCTCTTCCATTCTGTACTTCACATTTTTGTGATGTTGAGCTTCCTAAAGTACCCTAAACATAAGCCTTCGTCTCTTAAAAAGCTTTGAAAGGAATATGACATAAAAAGATGTTAATACCCTGATACTCCATAAAATCTTCCTAGTTATACACTAGAAAACTTAATGTATTTCCGAAGATATGTATGGCCTATATGTAAAAATTTTTAGCAGAACTGTAATAGTAAAACACTGGAAACAAATGAAATGTCCAAGAAAAAAGATAAAGAAATGATACAGTCATGCAGTTGAACTACAATACTATGCAGTTAGGTTTTCTTTCTTTCCTCTTTGAACTTTAGTGTATGTGGTTCACAGGACAATTATTTTTCTTCTACTTGAGATTAATATATTAGTTTCATATGCCACCTGCTGGATAAAGTTGGTGTAGTCTTACGAATTTACCGAATAGTCTGTCCATTGTTGACACTACCTGCCTCTATTCTGCATTTCATAAAATTTTTATAGATTGTTTAAAACATACTAAAAGTGGCCATATAGTCAGCCTGAATTCGTGTCTTGTTAATGTTGAAATAAGGGTCATTATGTGTAAATTTTAGGAAAGGTTAGGTTGAAGAAACTGTTTCGACTTGTAGGAGTATTTGTAAACATTTATAAAATTTTATGTCTACATATAGCATTTTGCAATAGATTGCAAAGGGTGCGTTAATCTCATCCTCTAGGATGTTCTGTACTGTAGTTGAATATATGAAAAATAGCATGCAAATTCTCAAAAACATTAGGATTCTTTATATCTTTTTGTGTCTTTAAAATTATTTTGAATTTTTTTATTTACAACAAATATGTTTTATAGGTGCTGGGAAGACAACACTTCTGAACTATATTTTGACAGAGCAACATAGTAAAAGAGTAGCAGTCATTTTAAATGAATTTGGGGAAGGTAAGTAAAGTTCAATAAATGTCATGTGGCAAGATTTTATGTGACTGTTTATTCCTCTGGTGAATTGATATTCCATATTTAAAAATGAAAATGCAATATATTGATGTGGATAGGTTTGGAAAAATTAATTTCTGTTAAGATTTATATGGGTTGAGATACTGAAATTAGTTTTCATAAAATTTTATTTTGTATCACTTTGGAATTCATATTAACAGAATTAAACTATATTTTTACGTGAAATAAATGACTTGAGAAGCCAAAATCTAGACATATGAAAAAGCTTTTAGAAACCAGAAAGATACTTTTGTATGAACTCTATTATTTATTGCAACTCATGAAAAATATTTGAAAATGCTTCAGTTATGTTTACTTTGTTTAACATTTATTATTTGCAATGCAGTTAAAACCAAAGATTTTAAAAATACGTTAAACATATGGTCTTTATCCTCATGTAGCTTAAATTATTTGTGAAAATAAGTGTGCTTGACTTCTCAACTCAACTATTAAGCTGTGGTTAAAAAAAAATAGTGCTAGACACAATACTTTGATTACCTTTATAGGAATTTTTCTTCATAAGTATGAATTGTAATCAAAGCTCCCTTCTAGCCAAAAACCAGTATCTATTAAACTATTTCTTTTAAAATATACTATTGTTTTCAGTTGTAAAAAGTAAAAGAGTTAGGTTTTATGAACAGGATGGAAAGACTGTTACATTGGCTTTCTGGTTTTAATAAACTAAAGAGAAAAGTGCTTTTTAGGCAAAAATCCTGAGATTTCTAATAACAGTCCTTTTTTTCCCCAGCATATTATTAAATAGCCTGTTGCACACCAATTACATTTATTCTTACTATTTTCTTTTTTTTTTCCTGGATCATTTTCACAATTTTACTTTCACAGCATTCTCAATACTTGCCTTCATGTTTCATTAACATTCTGTATACAGTCTGAATGCTGTAGCAACCCCTTTAGAAGCTCTTTATTAATAACTACCTGAAATATGATCAAAAATATATGTGTAAAAGACACTCAATTATATGGTTGGCTCATTTGCTTACTGGACTTTTGGAATTCTTCACCATTTGGTATATTTCTTTATTAGAGGAAAAGTAAAACATTTAAAATAATTATTATAGATTACAAGCATTTCAAATGTAGTTTATTCTTTCTTAAGTACGTATTGGTAGAAAACTATGTTAACTTGACTAAAAGTTTAATTTTTAAATGAGCACATGATACCCTGGCCAAAAACCTTTCTCCAAATGAACTAGGGTTTTTACTCAGTGGGAATATTCAGCAGTTTGTCTAACAGAAACAATTTAGAAGAAGAATGAAGAGAAACAGATAGATAAGGCAATCTCTTAAGATGTTGAAGGGCATACAAAATCCAATATATAAAACATACCAGTTGTATCTAGAAAGCTTACCCTGGAGAAGAAAAAAATGCCTTCAAGATAGCCACTTTATTAAGAAATGGGGGTGGCCAAGAAAGAGGCCTAAGGAGGAAGTAGGTATGTTTATCAGTGTAGGGTGTGTCTTTTTAGGGGCTTAAGTTATCTTAAAGCTAAAATAACGTAGTGTACTGTAATTTACATATTGAGGCTGCATGAATAAAATGAAAGAATGTTATAAAATGCAGTTTCTGCTTTAAGATCTCCATTATTGAGTTACCCTCATCTTTGTTTTTTGTTGGCTAATGGACGTAAGGTAAAGAGTGCTGTTTGTTAATTATTCTAGGAAGTGCGCTGGAGAAATCCTTAGCTGTCAGCCAAGGTGGAGAGCTCTATGAAGAGTGGCTGGAACTTAGAAACGGTTGCCTGTGCTGTTCAGTGAAGTGAGAAATGTGTTTACTATGTACTTGGTTTACTAGAAATGTTTATTGATTATATTTCCAGTTTTAATTTTCTTGAGTACTTTAACTGAATTTACAGTTTACTTCATTGTATTTTCAAACAAATAGAAAATAAACTTATTAGGAAGCATTTTCTTAAAGTGTTTCTTACTATCTTTTCTATCTGCTGTAATGCTTTGGCCCTTTGAGTTTTTAATGCTTTTGATGTCAGGGCTTATTTAATTAATAATCTCTAGTACATGAAAGTCTCATGTAAAAAATGATTATTCTGAATTTAATATGTCATTGGTCATATTTCCAAGTATTCAACCTTATAGAAACAAAAATAAGGGCTGGGCGCGGTGGCTCAAGCCTGTAATCCCAGCACTGTGGGAGGCTGAGGCGGGTGGATGACGAGGTCAAGAGATCGAGACCATCCTGGTCAACACGGTGAAACCCCGTCTCTACTAAAAATACAAAAAATTAGCTGGGCATGGTGGTGCGTGCCTGTAATCCCAGCGACTCAGGAGGCTGGGGCAGGAGAATTGCCTGAACCCGGGAGGCAGAGGGTACGGTGAGCCGAGATCGCGCCATTACACTCCAGCCTGGGTAACAAGAGCGAAACTCTGTCTCAAAAAAAACAACAACAACAAAACAACAACAACAACAAAATAAATGACTATTGAAAAAGAGAAAAACCTTACATTATGTTCCACTAGTTAAGTTTCCAAGGACAATGTCTATTTTGTTCACTAGCCTACCATAGACCTTAGAAGAGTACCCAACACGTGGTAGTATTCAAATGTTTGTTGGATGAATTATAAAAATGGCTACTTGTATTGTTAATTTTGTATATTCTAGTGAATTAAATCTCTTCAGCATCATTTACCCCCTTAGGTGTTTGACTTTGTGTCAAATGTATTGGCAAGGATAAAATTATAACAGACTTTCTTGAACAAGCAATATGTAATCTATTAAGTATTTTCCTTCACTTTTGATTAAAAAAAGGGAAATTAAAACCTTGTATCCTAATGCAAAAAAGAATTAAATGATGTTTAATATCAGTGTCCCTTTAGCTATTATATTAAACTACTATAGTTAATAAATTTTATCATTATTTTGGATGTTGATTTTTTTTTTTAATTGCATAAAGCTATAAAAATAAGATACTGACTTTGGTCAGATAAAGTTCCCTCTGCTTTTAATTTTAATAAAATTAAACTATTCCTATGTATATGATTTCCTTTTACCTATTAGAGTATATGCATCTATTGTTTTCTCACTGGTAAATATGGGACGGACATTTTGTTAGAAGCATAGAAGTGAGTTAAATTTTCACATTCCTAGGGACACTTTTGTCTCTGGTTGTTGAATATATTTTAAAATGTTTGTAATACTCACTTCAAAATATTTAGGTAATCAACTGTAAATTATGTTTCGGTATTCTCCAGGGACAATGGCCTGAAAGCTATTGAGAATTTGATGCAGAAGAAGGGGAAGTTTGATTACATACTGTTAGAGACCACTGGATTAGCAGATCCTGGTAAGAAGTGAGATTATTAATAACTAGAATATAGTTCTGTGATATATAGTAAATAGATGTATTAGAGGAAGGTCTAAAATGAGTATTAAAGCTTTGCTTAGAATTAAAACTTTTTTTGGTTTAAAAGAGGAAAAGTACTCAGTTATCATTTTCTTTGGCAGATGAATGATGTTCAGAGTATTTCTTGGTATTTTTAAGCTGTTAATAGAATTTGAAGTTTTATTGCTTGACTTAGGATTATTTATAAGAAGAGTAGTTGTTAAAAGTATGGACATGTAGAAAAAGCAGAGATGTTCTACCTCTAAATACAGTTGTTCCTTGGCATCCATGGGGTATTAGGTCCAGGACCTCTGAGGATACCAAAATCTATGAATGTTCAAGTCCCTTATATAAAATGGTGTATCATTTGCCTATAACCTATGCACATGGTCCCATATACTTTAAATTAGCTGTGGATTACTTATAATACCTAATACAATATAAGTGCTGTGTAAGTAGTTATTATACTGCATTGATAAAGGAATCATGACAAGAAAAAAAGTCCGTACATTTTCAGTACAGACACAGCCATCCATATTTTTTCTTTCTTTCTTTTTTTTTTTGAGATGGAATCTCACTCTGTAACTAAGGCTGGAGTACAGTGGTGCTATCTCAGCTCACTGCAACCTGTGGCTCCCATGTTCAAGTGATTCTCTTGCCTCAGCCTCCTAAGTACCTGGAATTACAGCTGCCCGCCAACATGCCCAGCTAATTTTTCTATTTTTAGTAGAAATGGGGTTTCACCATGTTGGCCAGGCAGGTCTTGAACTCCTGATCTCGTGATCTGCCCCCGTCAGCCTCCCAAAGTGCTGGGATTACAGGTGTGAGTCACCTCGCCTGGCCCTTATTTTTTACCATTTTTAATCCACAGTTGGTTGAATCCATGGATGTAGAACCAACAGATATGGAGGGCTGACTGTATATATTTCATTGGTTATATTCCATAGAGATTTTATTTCTGTTTACTGTCTAACCCAGCTTTCTGAGACGGTCATTAAGAGATATGTAAAGTCTTTGGGCTCTAATACCAGCAACACTTTTTCCCTTGAAGTTAATTGTTAGCATTTTGTTTTTCTACTAATAAAATTGCAATAATTTTATTTGTAAATGTTGTCATTAAGGTAACAAAGAAGACACAGTTAAATCTTCACTGAGCCTTTTTCCCAGTGTGAAGTTAATGATTATCAAGAAAATTTTTACCTCCAAATAGAATTATATCTAAACTCTACTATAGAAACATTGTTACTTCCTCCATTGAAGTCTGGAATCCCTCAAAATCGTCTGTGAGGGTTGGAATCATCTTCTTTCAAACTCCTATTCATGTTGATATTTTGATCTCCCATAATCATGAGTGTTTTTAATAGCATCTAGAATGCTGAATCCTGTCCAGAAGGTTTTCAGTTTACTTTGCCCAGATCCATCAGCGGAATCACTGTCTATGGCAGCTATAGCTTTATGAAATATATTTCTTAAATAAGACTTGAAAGTCAAAGTTACTCCTTGATCAATGGGCTGCAGAATGGATGTTGTGTTAGCAGGCATGAAAACAACAATCTCCTTGTACATCTCTATCACAGCTCTTGGATGATCCGGTGCATTGTCAATGAACAATAATATTTTGAAAGGAATCTTTTTCTAAGCTGTAGATCTCAATGATGGGCTTAAAATAAACCATGCTGTAAACAGTAAACCATGCTGTAAACAGATGTGTTGTCATCCAGGCTTTATTATTTATAGAAAACAGGCAGAGGGGATTTAGCATAATTCTTAAGGGCCCTAGGATTTTCAGGATGGTAAATGATTATTGGCTTCTACTTGAAGTCACCAGCTCCTTTAGCCCCTAACAAGATAGTCAGCCTGTCTTTGAAGCCAGACATTGACTTCTCTTTAGCTGTGAAAGTCCTAAATGGCATCTTCTACCAAAAGGAGGCCATTTCATCTCCATTAAAAATCTATTGCTAGGCCCCGCACAGTGGCTCACGCCTGTAATTCCAGCACTTTTGGAGGCTGAGGCGGGCAGATCATGAGGTCAGGATATCGAGACCATCCTGGCCATGGTAAAACCCTGTCTCTACTAAAATACAAAAAAATTAGCCGGGTGTGGTGGTGTGTGCCTGTAGTCCCAACTACTCAGGCGGCTGAGGCAGGGGAATTGCTTGAATCCAGGAGATGGAGGTTGCAGTGAGCTGAGATCGTGCCACTGCATTGCAGCCTGGCGAAAGAGCAAGATTCCGTCTCAAAAAAAAAAAAAAAAAAAAAAATCTGTTGCTTAGTGTAGCTACTTTCATGAATGATGTTAGCTACATCGTCTAGGTAACTTGTTGCAGCTTCTATATCAGCACTTGCTGCTTTACCTTGCACTTTCATGTGATGGAGATGGCTTCTTAATCTTGTGAACCAGCCTCTGCTGCCTTCCAACATTTCTTCTCCAGCTTCCTCACCTCTCTTATAGCCTTCATAGAACTCAAGAGAATAGGGTTGCTCTGAATTAGGCTTTGGCCTAAGGGAACATTGTGGCTTGTTTGATCTATCCTCTCCACATCAGCAATAAGGCTGTTTTATTTTATTATCATTTGTGTGTTTACTGGAGTAGCCCTTTTAATTGCCTTCAAGAACTTTTCCTTTGCATTCACAACTTGGCTAACTGGCTCAAGAGACCTAGCTTTTGGCCTGTCTTGGCTTTCAACATAACTTCCTCACTAAGTATAATCATTTCTAGCTCTTGATGTAAAGTGAGAAACAGGTGACTGTTCCTTTCACTTGAACACTTAGAGGCCGTTCTAGGGTATTAATTGGCCCAGTTTCATGTTGATCATATTCTCTATGTTGTCATGATTCCGTCATAATTCTTTTAGTTCTATGTTTTAATAGTTTTGGTGCTCATTACCAGTACTGTTGCTTCTCCATTCCTGACTTAGTCCATCTCCTGATTGAATTTCATTGTCAGGAAATCTTTTCAAGTTATAGGTACTGCTTTCTTTGGGCTCTTACACACTTCATTGATCAAAAATATTTGTCTTTTGTTTTTATATTACTTGAAGGATTACTTGGCTAGGTATAAAGTTTATCAGTCACACGTTTCCCCCCTCAACTTTGTAAATTTTGTTCCATAATCTCCTAGTGTTTTTTGATTGGCTGGATTTCCTTGTCCAGTGTTTTCTCCTTTTATTTTTATCAGGAAGAATCTGTGAGTACTATAGTCTCTGAGTCAATGCTTGAGAATGTCTGCCTGTTGCTTTCATTCCAGAAAAATAACTTCCCAGGAGGTAATATTGTTTGGGAACATTTTCCTTAGAACTTTATGGTCAATGTTTTATTATTTTGGGACATCTAGTGTTACTGTATAAAAGTCTGATTTTTCCCCCTTCCTCTTTGAAGGTGGCTTGTTTTTTTAAACTAAAATGCATGAAAGGTTTTTGTCATTATTTTTGAAATTCAGTAATGTAAACAAGATATATCTAAGTGCCATTTATAATTGTTTTTTCCTGAATTATATTATGCCCTTAGTTCTTCTAAGAACATTTTTCTTGTTTCCATTAATGCTTTTTGTTGGGCCAAATTATCGTTTTCTCTACTTCATGACACCAGTTTTCCTTATATTGAATTTTCTTTTTTTTCCCCATCTGTATTCTAATTGCTTTGATTTGTCTTTCACCTCTACATTTACTGTGATCCTCTGAAGCCTTTTTTTTTTTTTTTGTCAATAATTCTGTTTTCTCCAGTGTCTGTTCTGTTTTTGATGTTTTAAATGAATTAATTGGTTAAGTCATTGTGTTTATAGGCTCTAAGTTTCTTTGGCACTACAAACTCCATTTTCATCTTACTCTGCTTCTTCTTGCTTTTGAGCTCTTTTTTTTTTTTTTTTTTTTTTTTTTTTTTTTTTTTTTTGAGACAGAGTTTCACTCTTGTTACCCAGGCTGGAATGCAATGGCGCGATCTCGGCTCACCGCAACCTCCGCCTCCTGGGTTCAGGCAATTCTCCTGCCTCAGCCTCCTGAGTAGCTGGGATTACAGGCACGCACCACCATGCCCAGCTAATTTTTTGTAGTTTTAGTAGAGACGGGGTTTCACCGTGTTGACCAGGATGGTCTCGATCTTTTGACCTCGTGATCCACCCGCCTCGGCCTCCCAAAGTGCTGGGATTACAGGCGTGAGCCACCGCGCCCGGCCCTGAGCTCGTTTGTATAGGGTTGTTTTGTTTTTAAGTTCTTTATTAAGATGAAGTTGTTGAGAATGTTCTTTAGCTTTTTTTTTTTTTTGGATTATGTATCCTTCCAGAATGGGTTCTTTGCCACTTGTGTGCCCTGTTCATTTCTTCACCTTTTTGTTCTTTCTTGCCTTTTATTCCCTGTGTGTGTGTGTGTGTGTGTGTGTGTGTGTGTGTTTCTTGTCAGGCTGCAATACATGCACATACATGTTTCCTCTTGATATGGGAGTCTCAGAGAACTTATATGTGGTACTGATGGAAAATATTTTTAATACTCTACTCTTCCTACCCAAATTTGTTTTTCTCCTGAGCCCTAGCTTGAAAGCTGTATATTGTTGGAGTGGAGCGAAAGAGAAGGGAAAAGTGGTGATTCAGAGAGCCAGATGGGCTATTTGGCTTTTGGGCTCTGCTCTCTTGAAGTACCAACTATCTCCCCCTTGGGTCTGCCCAACTGCTTATGAATAAAAATCCTGTGCCTTGTGTGGGGACATTATTCAGCCTCAGACCTCTCATTTCTCTTTGTTCTGTGCCCTAGAATATGACCTGACCTTCTCCTTCCCAAAGCATGGAGATGGTTAAAACTTACTCTTGAAATTTTTTTGTTGACTTTTCCCTGTATTGCTTATTCATCCCTCAGCTACTTTTTGCCATTTTGGAAGGTATTTGTGATAAGTGTTTAGGATTTTGCAAACTATTTCCCTACAACCTCTTATTGGAGGTAGGGTTAGAGTTGGGAATGACCATAAATCACATAGAACTTTGTTTCTTATTTAGACTGTCAGTCTTCAAAATTTATGACAGGCCCTTTTATATTTGGTTGCTGTTAATAAAATTTTGGCTTGTTTTATTTTTTATTTTCATTTTTTGTTTTATTAGGTTTTGAAGAAGGGAGATTCTGTAATCTAGCTCAGGTTTTCTCAGTGTCAGCACAAATAACATTTTGGGTTGGATAATTATTTGTTGTGAGGGGATTGCCCTGTGCATTGTAGACTTCTACATACTAGATACCAGTAGCATTCCCCTAGTTGAAACAACCAAAAATATATTCAGACATTGCCAAATATTGCCCAGGGAGAAAAACAACCTGGTTTGAGAATCACTGATTAACTTTGTTCACTCATCTTTACTCTTCCTCCTAAATACCTATATCCAAATTTTAAATAGATCTTTCTCATATAGTCTGGCAAGTATTATATCAAAGATAAATATCAGTTTTAGAATAAAGCTTTAATATACTCTTAACATTTCAACTTAAGAGGCAAATATTAACAGTAGGATTTATAAGCTATTTACTGGAATAAAAATCAATGAATTTTTAAAAATTACAAAATCATTTATGTATGTTAGATATTTTACTGAGTGAAAAAATTAATGCTTTTTAAAATGACATTGTTTGGAGTAGAGATACAGTAGATTTAATTTTCCCCCTCATTAATTAAAATCATGTTTTAGCCAAGAAAGTGAACAAAATTCTTATTGGCAATTCAGTTGTTTCCTGTTTTGGAGACTGACACTCTCCGGTTCTAAGCTAAATAATTGTCATGGTAAAGTAATTTCCTTGAAAAGGACGGACATTGATTCAGCCCCTGTTACTCACAAATCCTATTTCAGTCAAATTGGAAAACTATTAAGTTTTTGGGAAAAAATCAATAGATATCAGGAAACCATTAGATCTTGTGGCCCTTGCTATATCTTGCATGAGTAATCGCTGTAAACAGCTGACAGGTATTTCATTGTTGACACAGAGTTGATGCTTGGGGGACCACATCTTGTCAGAATAGGTGGACAGCTTTAGACATTGGAATGAGTTTGGTTATCCTTGTTTTTCTCCTATGCTGATTCTTTTAGACAGCCCTGTCACTAACTGGGCCTGTGATGCTTTGAAAAATCAAATACTTTCCTTGCTGTCAGTTTTCTTTTTCTTGTGTTGTGGCATACTAATCAGGGTATGTGGTTCGATACTGAACCAGTTTCTGTCAAAAACAAGTTTTAATTTATTATTTAGGCATAATTTTTCCTCAGACCCAGGTTTTATACAGTACTACATAGTGTAAGAAATAATTAGTAATGCCATAGAGTATATAATTTTACTTCTAGTTCTATACATATTCCAAGTAAATTTTTTTTTGACAAGTGATTTTGGAATTATTGATGTTTTGTTTTCCTTTTCCTTTAGAGTGATAATTCACTATTTATGACCTGAATGATTATCATATTAAGAAGATGAGAAAATAAAAATAAGCCTGATGTGCATAAAGCCATACTGCTCAAATTGTTTGATAATATCCATTATTAAATTATTATGGCATTGGTAGAAGAATGATATTTTGTTTGCATGTGATAAGAGTTGGTCTTTTTTAAAGGAAATAACAAGAGGGATAGAAATGGGATGGGTATAAATAGTAAAAGGTTCTATCACTGTAATTCCCTTTTACTATAAATAGTAAAAGTTTCTATCACCATAATTCCCATAAGAACATATATGTGTTTACCTGTTAATTTCATCAGGGCAAATTAAAGCATGGATAGAATCATGTTTCTCAGTGTGAAGAAATATTTTTATTTGATGAATATTATATATTTTCAGGTGCAGTGGCTTCTATGTTTTGGGTTGATGCTGAATTAGGGAGTGATATTTATCTTGATGGTAAGTTAAAAAACAATTTTCTATCTTTTTTTTTTTTTTTTTTTGAGACACAGTCTTGCTCTGTCACGCAGACTGGAGTGCAGTGGTGTGATCTCAGCTTAGTGCAACTTCTGCCTCCCAGATTCAAGCAATTCTCCTGCCTCAGCCTCCCAAGTAGCTGGGACTACAGGCTTACACCATCATTCCCAGCTAATTTTTGTATTTCTCGTAGACAGGGTTTCCCCGTGTTGGCCTGGCTGGTCTCGAACTCCTGACCTCAAGCAATCCATCAGCCTTGGCCCTCCAAATTGTTAGGATTACAGTTATGAGCCATTGCACCCAGCCTCTTTTGTTTTTAAGTAAAATCTTTATGGTTAAGCTTATTTTTATTCATTCGTATTATAATTTTAATTCTTTGCATTGTTCTTTTTAGACTTTAGTTTAATGATGAAGTCTTTGTTCATGTAGGTTGAAAAACCCAAGACAGTGGTGGAACTGGATGTCACTCAACTCCCAATTTAGTGCTTCCACTAAGGTTTTCCTTAAAAAAAAAAATGCTATGTAGATTTTTGTGTTTCCTCTGTTGTTTGATTTATGCACTTAATATAATATTAGAGCCTTTTAATCTGCCAGGCAATATGAGGATCATATTTTTGCTCTCATTTTTCATTTAATATAAGAATTAAACACTCCCCCCTTACTTTACCTTAACACTTTTGGGCAGTATACTTTATAAACTTATATACATGATATGCCTTCATTTAAAATATGTTAGAAACTTCCTTAGTTAAGCAGCTATGTTTTCTCCATCCCTCTTTCCCTTTTTCAACTTTTGAAAAACCAGTCTTTTTATTTTTCAAAAGTAAGAATCATTAAGAATTTTAAGAATCATTAAGAAATTTTGGAATTACTAAGCGGGGTCCCATCATTGAGCTCTAATATATGTGGCATATAACTGGTTGAATTCCTTAGGCATAATTAAACTCATTCTGTTGTTATCAGTTATTCAGAGATTACTATATGAATTGGTAGCTTGGAAACTTAGGCATATGTTATGAAAAACATTTTTATGAGTTGGATATGGTGAGAGATGTCAGGAATAAGATATCCTAAGATGTCTCATTCTTTAGGCAATAATTTAAATGTTAAGAGAAGTCTTGATTTTGATTATGTGAAAATAAACTAGAGATAACCTGTCTTGTGTGTTTGTCACATTTGACTGTGTTTTGAAATTTGACTTGTATTTTGGATGGTAAGCTTTTTAAGTGCCAAATGTTATTTTCTTATTTATTTAATTTTAAAATTTTATTTATTTTATATCTTCTTTAGTGCCTTAAAATAGTGCTAGTTACTCAGTATATATTTGAAATGCATTGACTTTTTACTGGAATTTAATTAAATGGCAGCATTGGCAAGAGAAAAAAACAGTACTTTCATTGGGTAGCATTTGTGAACTGAAATAGATTAGTTTTAATTTTCATTCTCAAGTATGGTTGCATAATATTAATAAACACTCTTTTTTAAAAAGGCGATTAAAATGTTTTTTCCTTTGTAGGTATCATAACTATTGTGGATTCAAAATATGGATTAAAAGTGAGTCGAAAGATTGCTATGAGTGGCTAACGGTTGAGAGCTGGGAATATGGGGTTGATTGTATAATTTTCTTTATGTTTGTATCTGTAATTTTTTTTAACAAAAACCTTTTTCAAAAAAGTATCCTGAACAATAGATAAAATTTGTGTTTTAATTATTTGTGTTAAATATTTCTTTTCTATTACTCTGAGTTTGATTTGGTGATAAAATTTGGAAATACAGTTCGTAATAAGCACATGCGGTCAGGTTAAATTTTGGTATGTCTAACTCTTCACTAGGATTCAACCCCAATATTGTTAAGTTCTTCTGTTTTATAGAGGAAATTGAGCTTAATAAAGCATCTGAGATCTTATTTTTCTTGTTAAGTTGCTACTATACACACATTGGAAATGAGCTTTTAAAAAATATTGAAGACCTAGGTGATGGGTCTTCAATATTTAGGTGCAGCAAACCACCATGGCAGACATTTACCTCTGTAACAAACCTGCACGTTCTGGACATGTACTCTGGAACTTAAAACTGAAAAAATACATATTGAAGAAAATCAGGATATGTACATAGGATTGGTAAGGAGAATTTCTCAATTAAAAGGCATCTTGCATCACTTCTTGGTCTTTTGGCTAAGATCAAGTGTAAAAGACATCCTGCTATGAATGTTTTTGTTAACTTCAAAGGTCTTTAAATGCATTTAAATGAGGTTTAATTTATAAAATGCATATAGTAAGATCTTTCAAAGTATATTGTTACATAAAGTAAAATGATATTTCTCAACTTCCCAAGTGAGATTTCAGTAAAGGCAGAAGAGGATGAAATAATTCCACCCACTGACCCAGTCCCAGTCTAAGCATATAGATAGGGCCCAAAGCACTAATTTCTTAGAAATTTCAATTCAGTGTTTAAAAATTTGTATCAATTTTGTATCCAACCTCATAATATATCTGAACTTGTTCTTTTTTTTTTTTTTTTTTTGAGACAGAGCCTCACTCTGTCTCCCAGGCTGGAGTCCTGTGGCCCCATCTTGGCTCACTGCAACCTCCATTTCCCAGGTTCAAGTGATTCCCCTGTCTCAGCCTCCTGAGTAACTGGGATTGCAGGTGTGCACCACCATGCCCAGCTAATTTTGTATTTTTAGTAGAGATGGGATTTCACCATGTTGGCCAGCCTGGTCATGAACTCCTGACCTCAAGTGATCCACCTGCCTTGGCCTCCCAAAGTGCTGGGATTATAGGTGTCAGCCACTATGACCGGCCTGAACTTGTTAATTTTTAAGTTTGCTTTTTTTTTTTTTTTTCTAACTCTTTGCTGAAATTATACTCTAAGGGAATATGTCAGGCTTGTCCAATAGCTACCAATATCTCTTCACTGGGCCTTCCCTCCATTGTGGATAGAGTGCCCTAATTTGAAAAGTTTGGAAGAGAATTCCTTTTTTGGAGTTTAAAAATCTCAATTTATGAATTTATGAATATAATTTAAGAATCAAAGAATGATCGCAAATACAGTATTACACTTTCACTCAGAAAAATTCTGAAACTGTTGGAAATGATATTTCTTGCAAAATGCTTATTGAGGTAGCAAAAAACACCCCAAGTTATTTACTTTCAATGTTTATTACAGGCATGTTTATATCCATCTCTCCAGAAATTTATGACAAAATTTGATATGTGACAGATAACTGCTAAGACATTTTGGGTTTTTGTTTTTGATAGACTTAAAATGCCATACTGAAATTCAAACTGTTTATATATTTCATGATTATAGAAATAATTTTCTATGTATAGTTGGGTATGGAGAATTGTTAAGTAGAATCTTTTATCAGCATGATAAAGGCCAAAAAAAACAAAGCAACATTCTGAATAATGCAAACGCAGTAAACGTTTAACCTCCTGCCACCTTGATAAAACCTCTTAAATTATTAAATCAATATACCTACACAAAACTGACACACTGTCAGGGTAATGGAAACTTTAGATTTTCAAAGTCGGATGCCAGATAAATAACTTTGCCTTGATATAAAGAATTTGCCAACTTGTTCAATTCCTCTGGTTGCAAAGCTTGACCTCAGTAGCTGCTTGTGATTCAGAGAATTCTGAGGCAGTACAAGTAATGACACTTGGATAATAGGCAGCAATTTAAGGGTGTCATGCTTCACAGAGCCAGCCCATCACAAGTAAAGCTGAGAAATGGTACCCTGTGGCCGGCCAGCCAAATTGAAACTGAAGTGGTAATTGATATCATGGGGTATCACTCTAATGGGATTGTCACCCATTGATCTGAAATATTCATTTTTTAATCATAGGCAAAGAATTGGACAACTTAAAATGACAGCTCTCTATTCTCAGGACTTGACACCTAGGGTACTGACATTGTTCTTTTCAGTTCTACAAATGTGACAGCATTTAATGCAATAGAAGCAATGAATGAAGTTACCCAGAAAAGGTCAAGTGAGAGGTTTCTTCTTGATTCCTCTGTTATATTGCACAATCTGTTGAAACAATTCAGTCAGAAAACAGTTTGGCTTGGAAAAGGCCAGAACAATAATAGACTGACATTATGCAATAATTTTTAAAAAACTAAAATAGTGTTAGGTCTGTAACCAATCCATCTGAAAGAAATAGTTCCTGCTGCTGCGTTTAAAAAATGACATCAGGCATCTTTGACACTAGATTTATTTCCACTCTGGTCAACAGCAGTGTTCTTTCATAGCCAATGTTTTAAGATAGTTTTTTCTTTTCTTTCTTTCTCTCTTATTGGTCCAGCTTCTTTCTTTATTTCTGCAGAAAAGGATACCCTATAGCCCTTCATGAAGTTATGCCTACAGTGGTGTTATTTCAGAGTTCCTTTGTTTCTCTCCCTAACCACCAGCATTACTGAGGTATAATTGACAAGTAAAAATTATAATATATTTAAGGTATACAATGTGTGAATTACATTATAAAACAATCAAGCTAGTTAACATATCTATCACTTCACGTTGTTACCATTTTGGTAAGAACAATTAAGATCTATCTCTTAACAGATTTCAAGTATAAAATAGAATTAACTGTAGTCATGGTGTGGTAATTAACTCTCCATGACTTACGCATCCCGCATAACTGAAACTTTGTAATCTGTGACCAACATCTCACATCACTTGCCTTTTTCTCCTTTGTTTCTTGCGATGAGTTAAATTGGTGTTTTGAACCTTAGCCTTTTGAATATGTTGGATTAATTAGTACCAAAATTATTTTTGTATTTTTGATATATAAGCAAAAGCCACAGTTCTTAAGCAGAGATAAGAAGTACTTTGGACACCTATGTAATATAAAATATTTTTAAAGATGTTTTGCAAAAATTTTTCCTTCATTATACAGTTAGAAATTTCCATTTTGTTTTATTTTATAAATGAAAGTCATCTGAGTTAATGAGCAAATGGTATATAATGTATTATTGGAGAATGTTCTTTTGAATAGAAGACATTGGTTTTAAACTTTTTGCAGAGTTTGGGGAAGGTAGGAAGTCACATGAGGGAAATGTAGGGCTGATGTCTAAAGAAAATAAATGTTAGTTTGCACTTATTTTTTTAAATGTTTGTTTAGCTTTCCTATGTGTGTATAACAGGACGTTTATCTCTTCTGCTATAATTGTACATGATTACATAGAATTTTAATAGAGTTGTAAATATTGGCAGGCTTTCATTAGGGGTGATTTTCATTTATTTTTATATTTGATACTTTCTGACTGCCTGGAGGTAGTAAAATGTTGATCTATCACTGTTAGTTTTGAGTGAAGAATTCTAATACTTTGGAGAAGTAAATGCATTTAAAACATTATACATTACTGTGTGAAACTACCATTTTATTAGTTACACTTAGGTATGAAAATGCAGAAACAAATCTGTAGTTCTTCTGTCACATCATTTTTATGCCTCACAAACTCATAGCAAAATAGCCCCAAATTCATATGTAAAAAAAAGCTTCCATAAGGTCAATAACACAGTATCTTGAAAAATTTCAGTTTAAAAAGAATTTTCAGTAATATGGGATCATTCAGAGGCAGATGCCTTGTGAAAAATATATTATTGTTAAGTAGATTTACTGCTTAATGGGAAGAGATTTGTTGTTGCATGTTATATGTTATTGTTCATATAACATCTTTTACGTACCCCTGTCAACAAGTAGGAGGTGTTAACTACTATTCATTCAACAAATATTTGTTGAGCCTGTGTGTCTAACAGACTATTCCAAGGTCTGTTAACAGGCTTATTTTCTAGAGGCAGAGTATATAATTATAGGACTTGTTATACCTCAGGCCAAGATGAATTATGGAAAAAATATTAAACTTGGTCTTTTGGCATGAAATGATTTTCGATACAACAATTTCCAAGTTCTGTGACTTCCATAATTGTAGAGTGGGTTTGTAGTTGAATTGAACTAGATTGTGCCTAAAGTAGAAGTATCGTTGCTATGATTTTACTTCAGTTTTGTTTTCCTCAAAATAGAATTTGCTAAACTTTTAGTAGGAAAAAATGTTTCCTCTGCAGACCTAACCAAGCATATTAAATTATTACCTGCTTGCTCTTAGGTTCCAAACTATTCAGATACTCCTAATGATCATCTCCCTATACTGGCTTGATTCTGATATATGATTATTAACATTTTTGTAACACTGTACGGAGACTGATTTTATGTGACATAAAAGGTTTCACAAAGAGTTTAAAATTGTGTTCATTTTAGTTGTATTAGTATGTTTTCAGTTTAAAAAAAATAGCCCCTGTGATTTTATATAAAATATACTATCCTATGATTATAAGGGTGTTAGATTTAGTTTCTTCTTTTATAAATGAAAATAGCCACTTTCCATAATTGTTATGAAAACTAATGAGAAAATGTATATAATAATTTATAAAGTAAAATTCAAAGATTTAATAATTTATAAAATTGACTTCAAATATGAAGAGCATTACTACAGTCCAGTTGCCTCTAAACCTCAGTAGGCAGCTTTTTATTGTGACAGGAAACCTCTGTTGAGGTTTGAGGTGATGAAGGTGAAAAATGTAATTTTAGAGAAGAAGCTTGTGGTGTGGCATTGATAACTTTAGGGCTGTAAATAGGATTATGGGAAAAAAAGACCAAAAAAACCTTGCCTCCAGAGAGATGAAAACTATCACATGGGCTCTAAGTCAGTGTCAAAATATTTTTTTTTGGAGCTAGCCTGACTCTGGAGAGGTCAGTAAAATAAACAGTTGCACTGAGAGGCTAGATTAGTGAGTATGGGTTTCAAAATGATAAACGGCTTTTGGGCTAGAATCAGGGCTGAATTAGCCCTCCCACCACTTTTTTGTTTTGAGATTTTTGAAGGGCCTAGAACTGAGTTCACATGGTGCATGATTGTGGTCTGGGGAGTAGGGAAGTATATTAGATTCTAATATGGGGGTGGGTGTGAAGGGAAGTATATTAGATTTTAAGAAAATATATTTCAGTGGTTATCCTTTTTTAAAATAAGTAATAATGAGTATTTAGAACAAGAACAGTTTTGTAAGAAGAAAAATGCCTAAAATCTGAACTGTAATCTTCTATGTTTTTATGACATGTAAATCAAAGGTGTTTTCCTTTTAAGTGAAAGAAAAGGTCAGGAGTATGAAATCCTAAGCCCTCTTCCTTCCCGCATAAAACCCTACAGGTTTACTGTAGAAAAAAATTGCAAGTGGGGAAGAAAAATGCTTTCAGATAGAAAAGTTAGTTCTGAATTTGTGTACTTAAGTAACAGTAGTTGAAGTTTTTATTAGATGCAAGAAGATGCCTCTAAAGTAAAATCCTTTGTGTTAACATTCGATTTTGTATTGTATTATAGTAACTTTATTCAAACTTTTTTTTGTTTAGCATTTAACAGAAGAAAAACCTGATGGCCTTATCAATGAAGCTACTAGGTATTCATATTTAAAGTATATATTGATTGCTGGCTAATTGGAAAGAGAAAAATCACTAAGATGAAAACCAAAAGCAAATTAAGAAATTTTAAAACATAGTCAAGGCAAATTTATTTTCTTTTTTCTCACAGTTGAATTATTGCTATCTGTTTGTTATGATCTGTTAACTTTTACTTGAAGTCATTTTTGTTGTAGCATAAAGTAAATGCTGGACACAGAAGTTCTGTAATTTTGAGGAACTCGGGAAATATTAACATTTAAAAATATTTTCTTGTTATATAATTTCTTTGTGATTGAAGATTATAAAAAATAGATAGGTGTCTCAGTGCCTTTAATAGTAGTTCATTGATTTCATTATATACTGTTATTCAGAAAAATAGAGGAACAAATATGAAAATAGTTTTAATTTGGCCCTTAAAACATTTTTTGTTTAAACACTTTTATGTTTCTAATTTATTTGTCTTTAGACTTAGAAATATTTAAATTAGTTTGCCTGCCCTAAGCATATTCTTACTAATAGGATAAAGGTAAGATAGATGACTAAATACGCTGCTGGGTTTGCAAGTGAGACCCTCGGGGATTTGCTAAAGACTACAAATAAGCAATTTATTCCCAATCATTTTCGAGTATGGCACTCTGTTGTTGTGTAATGCTGCTTAAACACTGCATTTGGTATAGGATTCAAATCAAATGAACTTAAATATTTTTGTAAATTTTTTTCTTATGAAAATACAGTTATAAAAAAATAAGTCAAATAGAAAATAGCAAAATTGAATTGTTATGTACATACTGTTTTTTATGAAACAGTACTTTTTTTTTATGTTATGAAACCTGCTTTTTCAGTGAACTAAAGTTAATTTAGTTTTGAGAATTTAGTTGTATTCTCTGAGATATAGCTTAAGACCCTGAAGAATTGAGCAAAATTGGAAGAATTTCCAGTTTTACTATCCTGTTAATAGAAGATAGAGCTTCTGATTATTATCATCTACTTTGTTATCTAGCAGTTAGCATGGGTTCTTTACAGAGATAATATACAGTATATTTATGGTGATAAAGAAGACATTTGTGTAATATCCTGATATGTCTTCTGAAGTATACCTTATTATTATTATTATTTTTTTTTAAGAAATGGAGTGTTGCTTTGTTGCCTAGGCTGGACTTGAACTCCTGGGTTTAATTAAGGTATCCTCCCTCCTTAGCCTCCTAAGTAGCTAGGACTACAGGTGTGTTGTACCATGCCCAGCTCTGAAGTACAGTTTTTAAAAACCTGTTTAACAATGAGAACACATGGACACAGGGAAGGGAGCACTACACACTGGGGTCTGTTGGGGGGAAATAGGGGAGGGACAGTGGGGGGTGGGGAGTTGGGGAGTTATAGCATGGGGAGAAATGCCAGATATAGGTGATGGGGAGGAAGGCAGCAAATCACACTGCCACGTGTGTACCTATGCAACAATCTTGCATGTTCTTCACATGTACCACAAAACCTAAAATGCAATAAAAAAAAAAATTTAAAAAAAACCTGTTTAATATAGTTTTTAGTATTAAATGAACTTATTCTATTTCTTTGAAAATTATGGCAAATATTAGAAGAAATATTTTAGTACATAAACTTCTTATTTTTACCATATTGGATGTTTGAATTTTGTGCTTTTTTTAAAAAATTTTCTTTTCTTTATGCCTTTCTTTACAAAGAAAATTATGAGTTGAAAATCATTCTTTTGATTGTAAACTTTTTGAGACTTATCTTTCTAGCACAAGAATAGCAAGTAAGAGAACTTAGAAAATACTTTTTGAATGGGTAATGTGAAATCTGAACTTGTATAGTGATGAATACAATTCATTCCCGTTGAAAAATTAGTGGATTAGGAGTAAACTGAATCACTATAGAGCAACTATATAATTCTTAACTGATATGTTGATCTGCATGAGGTGTTTTTATTTTTAATTTGTTAACATTTCTCTTTTGATATATTAATCTGCATAAGGCATGTCTATTTAAAATTTCTTAACATTTCCTTTTGTTCGCTATTTTAGGCAAGTTGCTTTGGCAGATATCATTCTCATCAATAAGACAGACTTGGTTCCAGAAGAAGATGTGAAGAAATTAAGAACAACAATTAGGTACAAAATGATAAGTGTGTTAAGTGCCTACAGATCCATATTGTACAACTCAGAATATTTTTTACCATGACAGTTGCCCTATAGAAACTTAAGGTTTAAGGTTGACCTACTTCAAGAACCATTAGGGAATCACATATGTTGTTGTTGGCTAATTGACTTTTATATAAATAGCAGTACATAAAATTAGTCCCCAGAGCTTGCAGAATATATTTCACAGTTAATATACTGATTTTCAGGGTCCTCTTACTCCATCCTTTTCCTGTCTTCTCTTTGATTCTTTCCTAATGTCAGTCTTCCCTAACTCTACCCAGGATGGTTAATTCCTTTTCCCATGGATGCATCCTGCCAGTTCCTGTCTTTACTCGTAATACATTCTCACTCTGCCAATCCCTGAAATCTTTCTTGTTTTGTTTTTTTGCTTCTTTAAAAAAACAATTTATTCTATGGAGCCTATTCTATCTCTGTCTTCCCCACTCCTAAGTGAAGTCTTTCGTGACTCAGTGGGTCTCACTTTTCCCTGAACTCTCATTGACGTCATCTTCCTTAACTGGAAAGCACACCTCGTCTCCTAGCTTGCTTTAATATCTTCTTTGTCCATAGCCAAGGCTGATCAGCATAGGACAATCAGAATAATATGAATGATGCTCAAATATATGTTAACAGTCATTTTGCTGACTGTTCTGGAGACTCCCATTCCTTTTGAAAACAAAGACGTCTTTTTTAAATGAATTTATAGTTCAGAGACTTTTTGAATTATTTTGTAAGACCTGAACTAATAAAAGCCCTACACAGAGACATTTGGTAGCTATTATTATTGGTTATCTTTAACGTATACAGTGTTTTGAGCAGGATGACTCAAAATTACTATTCTTAGTATTTATAAGTTCTGACATCAGAGTTTAAATCTGTCATCTCGGTTCATATAGTATATATTATAAATTGAATCATATAGTATGTATTATAAATTGAATCATTGCAAATAGGAGATTATTTGCAATGATTAGTGATTGTAGAACCTAAAGTGCGATTAAAAAAATATATAGTAAACATAACCAAATACTTAAATAAATGAAAGATGGATTAGCAATTAAAAAAAAGAAATTCATATTTTTTCCACATATTTAGTCTTACTTTAATAGCAATTGTCCTTAAACTTTACTATAAAAAAAAGTATAATGTCTCCATGTGGAGGGTAGGTATTGTTGCATAGTGTTGAAGATCACAGACCTTGGAATTTGCTTGGGTTCTAATCCTTGGTCTGTTTCTCATTGTGTTCTTAGGGACCCTGTTTACCCTTTTAAAGCCTCCTCTGTAAAAGGTATAATGCTTATCTCATAAGTTTGCTTTCAGTATTACATGAGACTATGTTAGTAAACTTTGCACAGTGCTGACACATAGTTAAATGCTCTGTTAGCTATTATGTAGGTTTTTTTCTTAGCTTACCTAATGAGTTCAAGGTATAGTAAATAAGGGAAGAAAAAAAAAGATGGATGATATTTTTGAAAACTGATGAAATTTTGAAAACACTGATTTTGGAAAGGTGAAAGTGATGAAGATTGCCTTTACATTTTTTGACACTGGTCTTCTAATCTTGTTTCTCTTTTCAAAAATCTTGCGCACCATTGTGATTGCTAAGAACCCAGTCTACTTAGCAAACGTTTTTGGCATAAAAGGAATGATGATTATTACTTGGCTTTTATATCCTTATATAGACTGGCTAAATCTCTGACACTGACAATATTGACTATTAGCCAGCTTGTTAACAGTACTAGAAATGAATTTGGAGGAAGCAGTTTAATAAATTACATACTCGTTTGGCTTTTACTTGTACTCCCTTTATATCAGACTTGTGACTGACTCAGAATCATATTTGAGGAGTTGAAAAAAGGCTAACATATTTGAGAAGAAATAGCCATTAGTCTATAGAGTATATTCAAAAAAGAAGATTAAGAGTTTTGTAAAATAGTGAAGAGACTTGCCTCAGAATCTTTATATTTGGGAAGCTTACTCATGAGAACAAGCTTGAACAAGTAGCAAGTATCTTGGGTATGTAACCCTAAAGACAATGAATTGATGACAGAGAATTGATGACTGATGATAGACAATGGAAAACATAAATAGATGAGGTGTACCGTATGTTGAAAAGATTTTAACAGGTACATTTTGTTGCCATACACAAAGAGCCATATTCTATAATATTGAAAGAGGGAGAACAGGCATAAGATGTAGAGAGCCTAGTTAGGGAACTGAAGAGGTTATTCTATAAAGGAACCTGGGTTGTGTGACTTAGAATTACTGTGAATACCAAGGGCAGACTGGGGGCAAAGCTACTTCTAATTAGTTTTTTATTTTTAATGTATATATAACCATTTCTACCAGGTATGCCTGAAGAAGAAAGTGGCCACCATGAAAATTTTGAGTGTCTACTAATTTTTAAGAACTCTAAAATAACTACTTACGAATGATTTTTTTTCTAAAGTGAAGCGTCTTTTTATTAATCACAGAGTAGCCCTTAATTGGGCAGTTGTGCGGATTTTTGCATATATGTTTTATTGATGGATGAGTGGAATATACATGATTTATGGTTTAAAGGAAAATAATAAATTATTTTTAAAAGTAAGTTTTGTTTTTCTGTTTTTAATGTTTTTCTGTTTGCAGATGTATTTGTGTATGTATGCTTATTTCCTGTTTTAGAAATAATGAACCTCGTATACTTTTTTAAAAAGTTAATTTTTACTTTTAAACTTTGTCTTCCTCATTTATTATTTATTTCAGATCCATAAATGGAGTAGGACAAATCTTAGAAACACAAAGATCAAGGTACTTTTTCAAAGCTATTTCTAATATTATATTAACAACAAATAATTTTAGTTATTAATAAACATTAAGTAATTGATAAATATGCTTGATTTTAATATAAGAAAGACTTGTGTATTTTAAAAAGAGTTGGATCCAAAATGTTGTTTCAAATGATCTCAATAAGTTAATTTGGCATATTTAGGTAGTACATTTGCCTGTCTTTAAAACTAAGATTACAAAGCCATCATAACACTGTGTTACTGTGTTTTTGCTTAATGAGGAAGAAAAGACTTTCAAACACTTGAGAGGGTAACTCAGTACAGAAATCTGAAAAAGTATATTGAGAAATCTTATCTTAATTTGAAGTGTTTAAACAGCTTTAAAAAAATTTTTTAAACCTTCTTAATGTTTCATTGTTGCCAAAAAATATGTCATGTAAAAACACATAGTCTTTACCTTGAAGTTCCTGACAAATTATTTTATTAAATTTTGATATCCATTTTCTCTAGGTTCTGTTCCTAAAACATCTGTGAAGTGTATTTCTGTAGATTAAACTCTGTTTTCCACTGAGTGCTATCATAATTTCAGAAAATTTCTGTGCAGGGTATTTTGTTAAGCTCATTTTTTTTTTTTTTTTGATGAGAAAGACTCAGCAGCTGATAGACCCAGCAACAGGCAGCCAGGAGCTCTGAGGCTCACTGCTGGCAGTCTAGTGCCACCCAGTTCCTACTTGAGAGACTCTTTCTTTGGAAGTACAGCAGAGGCCTTAGGTGAGTGGTTTGTCTGCTATGGCAGAGATTAGAGGTGCTGACAGACTGCCATTCGTGTTAGGCAGTAACAGCAGCAGCTGCTTATATGCAAGCAAACAGCTGGGGAATTAATTTGGTATGCATTCTCAAGAGCCACTCATCTATCTGCTGGCAGAGGTAGCAGAAGAATGCCCTTAGTGTAAGTCCTCTACAACCATATACCAAAGGTGCTCCCTGCATTTCAAATTCCATTGTAGAAAGTCTCTGATAATCTCACTCATACCATGAACCATTCCTCAGTGTCTGTCCTCTTCCTGTTAGAGTTCTACAATTCCTTTCTCCTTTTCTCCTCTTTACAAAATGATACACAGACAACTGCATAATACTTAAACAAGCTTTTAAAAATCATGCCCATAAATAGCTGTGGTTCTGTCATAGCATTTATTCAGTTCATAACATTTTAATTCCGTTTTCTTCTTTTGTTAGTTTTCATTTCGGAAATATCCATGTCCTGAATAAAGGTGTCATCTTGATTAGTTTGTTAATGTAACAATTTAGTTTGTTTGACATTTCTAACTTTTATTAATTTAGTTTTGTTGTTTGTTTTTTGAGACGGAGTCTTGCTCTGTCACCAGGCTGGAGTGCAGTGGCGTGATCTCGGCTCACTGCCACCTCCGCCTCCCGGGTTCAAGCCATCCTTCTGCCTCAGCCTCCTGAGTAGCTGGGACTATAGGCGCGCACCACCATGCCCAGCTAATTTTTTGTATTTTTAGTAGAGATGGGGTTTCACCATGTTGGCCAGGATGGTCTCAATCTCTTGACCTCGTGATCCGCCTGCCTTGGCCTCCTAAAGTGCTGGTCTTACAGGCGTGAGCCACCATGCCCGGCTTCCAACTTTTATTTCTAACATTTGCTTTATTATAGAACAATAAACATGCAGTGATTGATTTTTGTTACTTCAAGTGGATGAGTGAGCAAGTGACTAAAATCTTTCTTCTTCTGTTTCTTCAGTGTATGGTGCTTGCCAGTGCATCTGAGAATCTAGTGACTTTCTGAAATAGTACTTCCTTGTTGTGAGGACTGAAGTTGGATTAGAATCCTTTTCAATAAAGATCAGGTGTCCTGAGTAGAATTCTTACTATTGGGTCCTGAATCTTATATTAAATATTCCCTCAAATTCCTTGAGGCATAGCATCTTGAGCTTACCAGCTTAGAAACGAGATTTGGTTAACAAAGTAGTAAAAGTCACTGTTTTCTGTCAATTAATTTGCCAAACTGGCTGCTATGCATTTCATAGTATTTTAAGGACTATTTAAGCAATGGATAAGGCAAAAACTCTGCCTTTAAGGAAAGGCAGGGGAAACAGAAGCAAACAAGCAAAAAGGCAACATGTTAGATATTAATATTAGTATAAGAATTTTAAAAGCACAGAGTTCTATAAGAATAGGAAAATAGAGGAATAACTATTCAACTTTTCTTGATGAAGAGGGAGGAAAATACTGACGAAGAAGGCAGTCATTGATCTGAATCTTAAAGAATGAATAGGGCTTTTACAGATGGACTAGAGTAGGAGCAACTTTCTAGGTTTAAGGAAGATTTTGTGTTCCAGAGACCTGTGAATATTTTAGAATGGCTAGAAAACTTGGTATTATATAGCACAGAAAAAGTGATATGACTGAAGAGATAGAGAACTTACCACAAAGGGTCTTGAATGCCATGATACATAGCTTAGATTTTCTTCTGTAGGCAGCAAGGAATTAGTGGAGGATTTTATTATTAATCATATATTATTAATTAATAAGTTCACAATAATAAACTTACTATTGGCCAACTCTGTTTTGGTTTTCCTCTATTCAGTCTACTTACATTTCCAAAAATTAAGAAAAAGACTAGAGAAGATTAAAATGGTACATCTTCTAATCTTTTACTCCTACTTCTGAAATCTATATGGTTCACTATAACTTCCATTTGCTACTAAATCAACTTAAGTCTTACCAATAAGGCAATGCTACACACTATTCCTTTTCCTTAATCGTAACTACTCAAGGTGAGCCTCTTTTCTTCACATACTTATAGTAGTTTATTGTCAGCACTTGTCAGCCACACAGTGGTAAAATAATTAAAAATTTTTTAAAAAACAATAGAACAAAATTCTTCACTCATTTAAGGCATATGACTGGAAAACTAATTTTCATGGCATCAATTTAATTTCCTCCTTTGGAGATAAAACCATCAGAAATCTACAATTTGCATTATAGATACTGGATGCCTGTATTGGCTGGTGCACCCCATTTGTGAGACTCACTGGAGTTTGAAGAACTGACCATTAGAAAATACCCCTAGAGTAGCAGCTGCAGTTTCAGTCCCACCTTGGAGAGCCTTGGAGAGCCAAAACCCTCTTTGTTTTCACTCTCCTGTCATTGGTCTTAGGCTACTTAAAGCAGACTTTAGACTTAGGGAAAATTGAAAGCAATTTTTATAGGAAAAACATTAAGTTCAAGAAATTAGGAGAAAAAAGTACTTTTTTTTTTTTTTTTGAGACGGAGTTTCGCTCTTGTTACCCAGGCTGGAGTGCAATGGCGCGATCTCGGCTCACCGCAACCTCCGCCTCCCAGGTTCAGGCAATTCTTCTGCCCCAGCCTCCTGAGTCGCTGGGATTACAGGCACACGCCACCATGCCCAGCTAATTTTTTGTATTTTTAGTAGAGACGGGGTTTCACCACGTTGACCAGGATGGTCTCGATCTCTTGACCTCGTGATCCACCCGCCTCGGCCTCCCACAGTGCTGGGATTACAGGCTTGAGCCACCGCGCCCGGCCAAAAAAGTACTTTTGAAGCTTTATCTTTCCCCTTTTTGCTTACTTCATTCTCTTACTCCTTTTTAAAATGCTGGTAATGGTCTTTTTTTTTTTTTTTTTCTTGGCTATTTTAATGCTTTGGAAATGATCTAATGGTTTTATCTCCAAAGGAGGAAATTAATTTGATGCCATGGAAATTAGTTTTCCAGTCATATGCCTTCAATGAAGAATTTCTTTTTCATGATGGTACTAAATTTGGGGAAAGCTATGGAAACTTTCATCTGGAAGCTTAGACTTTTTCTCTTTATTGAAAATTTGGTGAGAGACTTGGGTATTTTGTCATTTTCTGTAAAAGAGCGTAATTTGCTGTACAGATCTAATATTGGTTCTTTTTTAGAAATACGGAAAGAATTTGGATATACAGCAGAATTACCTCTGGATGACATGTTTTCTCAAGGACACTGTCACAGTGAAACGTGGTTTATTTATAAGCTTGTGTTTCCAGACTACATTTGATATTCGCAAAATTGGCGTGTGTAAACTTTATTAAACTTTAAGCTGTTTCCTAAGATGAAGATGACAAACTTGGGGGGAAACTTCATTCTTTTTTTTTTTTTCTTTTTTGAGACAGAATCTCACTCTGTCCCCAGGCTGGATTGTGGTGGTATGGTGGTTTGATCTCAGCTCACTGTAACCTCTGCCTTCTGGGTTCAAGCATTTCTCCTGCTTCAGCCTCCCAGTAGTTGGGATTGCAGGTGTGCGCCACCACACCCAGCTAATTTTTGTATTTTTAGTAGAGATGAGGTTTCGCCATGTTGGCCGGGCTGATCTCAAACTCCTGGCCTCAGAGTGATCTGCCCACCTTGGCCTCCAAAGTGCTGGGATTTCAGGCATGAGCCACCATGCCCATCCCACTTCAGTCATTTGTGACCCATCAATATAAATATGCTCAGTGGTGGTGGGGGTGGGAAGTGAAAAAGGAAATATGTTTAATATTAAGACTTCGGCCTCTTAGTGTAAATTGATATTCAAAAATTTCTTCATGAAACACTTACTTCTTTACTTGATCATTTTTCTAATTCTGCACATATAAAATGCCCAGAATTTGAGTTGTTGTTACAGCCTATTAACAGAGAACTTTGGAGTAATAAGATGGGAATTTGTATGCCTTTTGCCAAGACAAGCATTCGTAATCTAACACATTATTGTTGCCACAAGTATGAGTATGTGGTAGACTGTTGAGAATGAACAAAGCAGGCACAGTTGGTCAGTCTTAAGATAAAGAAGATGTTTTTTCTTACATGTTATGCATTAAAAAAAAAATTGAATCTGACCAATGAAATTTTTTTTTCCTTGTAAGAAAATTTAACAAATGTTTGGCAAGCTCCTGGAATCTAATTTTGAAATTTAATTATACATTTGTCATTTTCTTTAAACATTCCTTTGCCTTAGGTTTGATTATGGAGAAATCACTGTCCTCTGCTGTTTTATGGGCTTATGTTAAAATTGTAACGCAATCACCAGTCTTTATAAATTTACTTTTATATATTTAACCAAACCTAATGCTAATCGTGATATGTTATTCTCACTTGATTTGAATCGTTGCATTCCTAATAAGTTTAATTATCATTAAATAATTCTGAGAGAAATAATGTCTATTCGGATGGCAGGAATTTTTTTTCTACATGTAGCCCCATTCTGAATGAATGAAATCAAATCACGTGAATATCAGGGTCCTAGAGTAACTTAATATTTTATACATTGGTTATTCAGCTCCTCATATTTTAATATTGCATGTTATATCAAGGGAGGGGAAATAAAAGAAATATAAAAATTGCAGAGGTATTTGGAATGTACCCATTTGTTAATTCTATTTGTCATTTCTTTTGTTTCATCTTTTGAGTAATTAGCTGCTTGGAAAATTTTCTGTTCTTTAGCTGATTTTTTTTAAGCTATAAAAATGTATTTTAAAAGCTCATAAATTTCAGGATTGAAAAGATAATGGAAAGTTTAAACAAGCTAATTTATTGACATAATAAACAATTTTCAATCTTGATTCAACTGTGATCATCTTATACCATTTGCCCACTTTTATGAATTTTATGTATAAAATTTTTTAAGAGTCAGAGATTTTTTTCTTGATTAATTGGATGTATTTCACAGAATTTCCAACTGCTCACATTAGTTTTCTTTCTTTTAGAGTTGATCTTTCTAATGTGTTAGATCTTCATGCCTTTGATAGTCTCTCTGGAATAAGGTATGTTTTGTATAATTTGATTATTTTTATTGTTATGTACCTTTTTTTTCCCTTAGTTAACAGGAATGATTTGCACAATTGCACCCTTGATTTAAGCTTTCTGCCATTCCTTTGGCATACAAGACCATTCTTAATGAGGTATGTTCTTGGAAGTTTTACTAAGTAAGTAAGTGTCTGGAAATCATATTGCATTTTCCTATAGAAATTACAGTGTAAGTGATAGTTAACTTCAGAGACTAATCATTAACACTTCTACACCAAACACCATGTATAATACTCTTTCTATGAGAAGATACATGAAATACATAGAAAATTTTAGTTTAGGGCTCTCACACAGATAACTCTCTTTACATTAATAATGGATTAGTTCTCTGCCTTCTCCTGTGGGGAATCTTTTTGGTGAGGGAAGGAAGAAAGATTAATCTTGTGCGTCAGTATCATTTTATTTTTTTATTGTAGTAAGAATATTTAACATGAGATCTATCCTCATTAATTTTTTGAGCGTAAAATACAGTATTGTTAACTATAGGCCTAAGAATGTGCGGCAGATCTCTGGAACAGTTCAGTCTTGTATAACTGAGGCTTTATACCCATTGAATAGCAGCTTTCCGTTTCCCTCTCCCCTTAGCCCCTGGGAGCTACCATTCTACACTCTTTCTGTGGGATTGACTGCTTTATTCTGACACAAGTGGAATCATGCATTATTTGTCTTTCTGTGACTGGCTTATTTCACGTAGCATAATGTCATCAAGGTTCATCCACGTTTTTGCATATAGCAAGATTTCCTTTTTAAGGCTCAGTAATATTCTATTTTCTACATATACCACATTTACTTTATCCCTTTGTCTCTTAGTGCACATAACTTGTTCTCGCAGCTTGGCTATTGCAAATAATGCTGTAATGAATATCTCGTAAGTCTCATATATGTCCATACAAGATCATGAGAGTGGACATCTTTTTAGGTATTTTGAATTGGTGGGGCAATTTTGCTTAAGGGTAGGCATGGTGGGTGGCTCTATACTTGAGACTTCTAATTCTCATTCTTATATATCTTTCTTTCTTTCTTTCTTTCTTTTTTTTTTTTTTTGAGATGGGGTTCTCACTTGTCACCCAGGCTGGAGTGCAGCAGCACAAACATGGTTTACTGGAACCTTGACCTCCTGGGCTCAAGTGATCCTCCTGTCTCAGCCTCCCAAGTAGCTGGGACCACAGGCATGTGCCACCATGCCCTACTAATCTTTTAATATTTTTTGTAAGTATGGGGTCTTATTATATTGCCCAGGTTGGTCTCAAATTCCTGGGCTCAAGTGATCCTCCTGCCTCAGCCTCCCAGAGTGCTGGCATTACATGTGTGGGCCACCACACTCAGCCTTATATGTATGTTTCTAATTTTGCCTTAGCCATGCCTTTAAAAACTAATTCTATTTTCAATTAGGTTTTTTTCAACCTTCAGTCTGTAGTATTGTTGAAAATAGTACCTATCGTAACCTGTGAAGTAGGACATGATAGTGTTTTATTGGATCCCTTTTACTTTATTATGTTTTTATTTTATTATTTTTTTTGAGACAGAGTCTTGCTCTATTGCCCAAGCTGGAATGCAGTGGCATGATCTTGGCTCATGCAACCTCCGCCTCCCAGGTTCAAGCAATTCTCTTGCCTCAGCCTTCCAAGTAGCTGGATTATAGACACACGCCACCATGACCAGCTAATTTTTATTTTTTTTATTTTTGTAGAGATGGGCCCGGCCGCCTTTTTACTTTAGAGGTTGGAAAGCTTACATTCGAGTGTAGTTGTGAGAAAAAAAAAAAAAGGCCAGGCGTGGTGGCCTATGCCTGTAATCCAGGCATTTTGGGAGGCTGAGGTGGGCGGATCACAAGGCCAGGAGATCAAGACCATCTGGCCAGCATGGTGAAATGCCATCTCTACTAAAAATACAAAAATTAGCTGGGCATGGTGGTGTTTTCCTGTAATCCCAGCTACTTGGGAGGCTGAAGCAGGAGAATGGATTTAACCCGGGAGGCAGAGGTTGCAGTGAGCTGAGATTGTGCCACTGCACTCCAGCCTGGTGACAGAGTGAGACTCCATCTCAAAAAAAAAAAAAATTGATTGAGATTATTTCAGCAACCAGAAGTGTGGTTAGGCAGGGCAGTTATTTCCTCCTTCCCAGTTTGGAAACTGAAGCTCGGAGAGTAAACTTGTCAGTGACAGTGATTCAAGAAGTTGTCTTCAGTTGAGAGGTATTTATTTCACCTGTAGCTTCTGGTGTTAGAGCAGTATCTTTTTAGACTAGACAAATTATAGTTAAAATTATAAAGGTATTTTCAAGCTACCTAGAAAAAAATCAGCATTTTGTTTTTCTAGTTCCGGTTATTAGGAAGGCAATAAAGTTTGGTATACTTGATTACATGTGAATGATTTCTATTTTTCAAAAAATTGTTATATAAGGTAAAAATGACTACTTGTTGTTTTATGGTAAATACAGTTATATCCTTTCAAGCCACTCCTGTACAAAGTTGTGAAATCTCCCTGAGCCTTTTTCCTTTATGTCAGCTTCAGGTATCCAGTATCACTTACACTTAAGAATGATTATGTGAAAATCATTCAGAATTATACTAAGTTTTTTCATATAAAGCTTTTGTTTTACTAATTTTTAAACTACTGTTCCTCCATTAAACTAATATAGCCCTACCCATAAATTTGGTTTGTTCATTTAAAAATGGTCTTTTTTTTTCTTCTTAGTTCTGATTTTACTGGGGAGATAGATTGACTGGGGTTGTCACCTAATTCTGGGAGCTTTAAGAGCCTTTGTCCTTTGCTACCCATTTCTGAAATAATCAGAAGTCTAGCCCATCCTAACTTTTCTCTTAATGATCCTTTTTTTCTTTTACTCCAAGTCTCCAGCACTTCATCTGAGTATCAGTGCTATTTCACTAGTTAGCCATGCTCCATTTCTCTCATCTTCCACGTCTGGATTATAACTATATTTTTTTATTTGATGCTGTGACAGTTTTGATACTCACAGATCCTGTGATACATTTAAATATGTTTACAAGGAGAAAAACAAAACAATACTGCATGAAATTTGCCTTTCTTTCTTTCTTTCTTTTTTTATGGGAGACAGGGTCTAGCTCTGTTGCCCCGACTAGAGTGCAGTGGTGTGATCTCAGCTCACTGTAGCCTCTGCCTCCTGGGCTTAAGCCATCTTCCTACCTCAGACTCCTGAGTAGCTGGGACTACAGGCACGCACTACCACACTTGGCTAATTTTTTGTTGCCTGGCTAATTTTTTCTTTTGGTAGCGATGGGGTTTTGCCATGTACCCCAGGGTGGTCTTAAATTCCTGTGCTCAAGTGATCTGCCCACCTCAGCCTCCCAAAGTAATGGGATTGCAGGCGTGAGCTACCACACTTACCATACTTGGCCCTTTATTCTTTTTAATATTTATTTAATTATTTTATTTTGTTGACATAATGTCAGTCTCACTCTGACAGCTGGGTTGGAGTGCAGTAGTGCTATCATGGCTCTCTGCAGTCCTGAACTCCTGGACTCAAGTGATCTTCCCCTCTCAAACTCCTGAGTATCTGGGACTACAGGGTTGCACCACCATGCCTGGCTAATGTGTGTGTGTGTGTGTGTGTGTGTGTGTGTGTGTGTGTGTGTGTGTGTGTAGACAAGGTCTTGCTGTGTTGCTCAGGCTTGTCTCGAACTCCTGGCCTCAGGTGATCCTTCTATTTAGCCTCCCAAAGTGCTGGAATTACAAGCCTGAGCCACTGAACCCAGCAAAATTTGCCTTTTTAAAACTAATTTATCTCTGTTGGGTCCAAGAGCTTGCAAGTTGGTTGTTATATAAACACTAAAATATTTTTTAGTTGAAATCTTTATTTTTTCCCTTCACGTATTGTATCCTTTAGTGCATTATTCCAATAATAAGAATTATGGTATGAAATCATTTCCCACATTGATATTCAGTACATCAGTTTTTGTTTTCCTTTCTACTTCTGTCTTTTGCTGTAATTTGCTGTAATACAAGTACTTTCATCAAGGCATCCAGTTTTTTATATCATTCTGTATTTTTACTTGGGAGAAATAGAAATGTTGCTAATTCTGTCTTACTGTCAATACCTAAATTATTGTTTTTTATAGAACATAATGGTTTATACACAAAACACTAAACTGAGATTTTTACACTTTATGTGTGCAGAGACAAAAATTGTTATAAGATTACAAGTTAATGTGCAAAATGAGGATTTCAGATTCATGAGTTTCAGGTTTTGGTAGCATATGCTTGTCCACTAGATTAGTCTTTTAAAAATTTGTGTGATAGAGAAAAAATCTAGGACATGAAATTCTGAGACTTACTAGGAACTAAACTTAAATGTTCATTGTTAGATTTTTGATTTTTTGCTGCATATGAAGTTTTAGGCAGTCACTGTCCAACAACATATGGTAAAAGCATATGATTTTTCAAAATTATTTTCTGAAGTAATCTCATTCTACGCTTAAGAGCAGTTATAATGCTTTAGTGACACTCGAAGTAGTTATTTAATGTGATCTCACCACCAAAGAGAAGGCCTTTGCATGACTTTTTGTGTGTGTGTGCTTAGCTGCTAACCAAGAGAATCTTCTCCTGAGCAACCAGCTGGGAAGGATTTAATTTGACATTCTCCCTGCTAAGACCCCCCCAAAGAGACACATTCCCTCCAACAGTTCCTACAGGCTCTTTCTCTTTCCTAAACTTGCTGTTACTAATTTACCCCTCACTGTTCTTCAAGGCAAAACATCTGCAAGGTTTCAAGTCCTTTCCCCCTCCCATCCTGTCCCCATCAGTGTTGAAATGTGTGCTACAGTTGTTATGGTTGTAATTTGTTATGCCGTATTGATCTTGTGCTTTTCATATCAGAACAATGCATTTTTAACATTCTGACTTTCTTTTTCTCTCAATTGATAACTGACTATATATAAAATTTATATTTATGGATACTATTTGTTTTTTAATAAGTTCAAGGAAAAACACTGATAAAGGAAAATTTATTCTTCTAACTTTCTTTAGGTGCCAGCATTATTTTCACATTAGGAAGCAGGAGAAAATTAAGGAACTTTGAGCAGTACTAGAATGGTTTTATATATATATGTATATAAGATTGTATTAAACATGTTGGAATGGTAAAGAAAGTTATTGACATATTTAACCACACAAAATAATGTTGTTAAAAGATTAGTTTTTCTTTTTATTGTGTGCATATGTATGTATGTGAATGTGTGTTTTTTCTTTTAAAGAAATTTTTTAAAAACTTTATTTGCCAGCTTTTCTCTGTTGGAATTTGTGAACAACATGTAAAATTGGAATTATAGAATAGTTATGGAAAGTCACTTCATTATTCTTGTGTCACTAAGTAATGTATAAAGTTAAATCAAAAGTGTATTATCTCTGAATTTCTAATCAGTTGTTTTTAGTTTGCAGAAAAAACTTCAGCATGTGCCAGGAACACAACCTCACCTTGATCAGGTAAAAAAAAAAAAAAAAAAAAAATCCAAATCCAGAATCCCTAAAGAATGTTTTTAAAGGACTTCTTTAACTATACTGGCTATATTTAGGACTATTTTATTATAAACTTTTTCTAAAATGGTATTTTTGAAACATGTTGATAATTTTTGGAATCTGAAATGCTTTTGATATAGTCTAATCCTGCTTCTTAACACATAATAAGAATTCATCAAACCAGATTTGTTTAGAATCTGAGGAAATCATGCTTTCTAGCCTTTCCATTCTGTAGATTACTTAGCGTATTAATTAGTTCTGATAGGGAGTACTCTTAAAAGCAGCCTGGGCATTCTATAGGTAGTCTATTTTTAAGTATGTTGCATTGATTAAGGAAACGTCTGATATAAGCATGGCTTATTTAAGTAAAAATTGAGTTTCACTTTCAGGTAGCACTATAAATGTGAATTCCTTGTTTTTCATGCTCTAAAATTCTAATCCCTCAGGTAAATATCTAAGATGCTACGAACAAATTAAATACACTTTTACTGTATGTGCATTTCTTAAGCATATCATAGATCATAGAGCTTTAGGATAACCTCATTGTTCCACTTAAAACCCTGAGGGGTAGAGTGGGGGATGTGTAAGTGAGCAGTGTGCCTAGCCTTCCCTCATCAGTCTTGAAGTGATCACTCAGCTTTTGAATTACTATTGGTTGTAATATGGCCAAGATAACGGCAGCTACTTGTATTTGTATTAATTTTGGTTCATATTTATGAGCAGGTTTACTACTATGTTTGTGGTACCTTTCCCTGTGAAACTTTTGTTAATAAGATATTTCCTCTTCACTTATCTTTAAAATGAATAAATGAGAGACATACAAGTCCTTGGAAATAGAGTTTATGGTAAAAAAAAAAAAACAGTTCTTTATGATAGTCGATATCTGTCATAAAGATGAATGTGAAGCACATTTGAGCTTCTGGGTGAAGAATATGATGCCAAAAATCATAGGGATTAAAAGTTGAAGAAAATGCAGTACTCACTTACAATGAACATTTGTAGCAGCCTGTGTCTATACCCATAGAATCTTGAATGAACCCGTATTGTGGCAATCATGATGCCTTGCAGTTTGGTTAAATTGCTTTTGCCTTGCATTAGTCTATAAATTTCTTAAATATAAAATCTTTATAGCTTAGTACAGGGCTTGGTGGATGCTCAGTGAATATTTGTTAAAAGAATGAAAAGCTGTGTTTCTCAAATGGGGGATAAGTCAGAATTGTATGTGGAGATTCTTTTAAAAAAATTAGATAACTCAGTAGTTCTCACCCCTCAATCTCCAGGATTGGGGATTGGGTATGTGTATATTAATGTGTATTTTTAACATTTTATTATGCAAGATTTCAAGGATATAAAAAAGTAAACAGAATAGTAAGGCAAATAAACACCTTGTATAAATCACCCAGTTTAAATGGCATCAACATTTAGCTAATTTTATTTCACCTATCCTCCCATTTCTTTTGCCTGAGTATTTAAAAAGAAAATGTGTTTTTTTCTTCTTTTTTTTTTAATTTTTATTTTTTATAGAGACAGGGGTTTCACCATGTTGGCCAGGCTGGTCTTGAACTCCTGACCTTGTGATCTGCCCACCTTGGTCTCCCAAAGTTCTGGGATTACAGGTGCGAGCCACTGTGCCTGGCCAAAAAATGTTTTTTTAATAGGAAATTTCAAACATGCATAAAAGTAGAATAGTATAATTAGCCTGTATGTACCTATTGCTCTTGTTGGAGTGTATTAAAGCAAATTCCAGAGATTATGCCATTTTACTACTAAATAGGGCATGCCTATATTTTTGTAGCTTCTATAGGAGATTCTTGTGCACTTTCCTGCTTTAGATAATATAAACAGGAAAAATAGTATCACAGGCAAAGGGCTGTGGGATTCAGAGGCAGGAACTCTTTTGGTTCAGTGGATCAGAGGTGTAGGGGAGGAAATTTATCTTTTCCTTGCCCATCACTAGATTCATGGCTGAGGTCTCTCTAACAGAAGACCAACTAACAAGAGAAAAACACACACATTTATTTAGTAAGTTTTACTTGACACAGGAATGTTCATAAGGAAAGGAAGACCTGAAACAGAGTATGTTTCATGCTAGGCATGATATGGAAAAGGATAGTCATGGAGAAGCATAACTGGATAAAACAGGATGATCTAATAGTAATAAACTGGGAAGAACTTAGCAAGGTCTGTTTGATCAGATTTTTCTCTGTGATGCTTCATATTCAGAGATAAGGATGTCCTTTTCCTCTGTGTATAGAGAGGGTACCTGTTGAATGAGGGCCTTATGACCCTCAGGGGAAGGTCAGAAAAATCTAGGTTTTATGACCTGCTTCAGGAGAGAAGGTAAGAGCAGCCTTCCTGGTTCTACCATTTTCTCAAATTCTGAGGTGCCATATTTGGGATAGTACGTCTTGAACCCCATCAAAGGCTTCATGAAAGATAGTTTTTTTTATTTGATTTTGCATACAGTAAAGCATGCAAATGTATGATTTTAGTGTACAATTCAATTTTTTCTTCTTTTTGTCTCTCTCTGTTGCCCAGGCTGGAGTGCAGTGGTGCCAACTCGGCTCACTGCAACTGCCTCCTTCTGTGTTCAAGCAATTCTCATGCCTCAGCCTCTTGAGTAGCTGGGATTACAGGCGTGCACCACCACACCCGGCTAATTTTTATAGATATATATTTTTTAAGTAGAGATGGGTTTTCACCATTTTGGCCAGGCTGGTCTCAAACTCCTGACCTCAGATGATCCACCCACTTCGGCCTCCCAAAGTGCTGGGATTACAGGTGTGAGCCACTATGCCCTGCCTCAATGTATTTTTACATATATTTATACCTACATATCTGTCTGTATGCACACTCAAACACATATTCTTCTAACTCCCCACTCAGATCAAGATATAAAAGATATCTAAAATTGTAAAGAGTTCTCTTTTGCCCCTTCCCAGTCAAAGAAGGGGTAAGTGCTATTCTGACTTACATGACAAAAAATAGCCTTGAAGTGGTAGGGTTTTTTTTTTTTTTTGATAAGAAGAAGTAAGGAAAACAGCAATATGGATGTTTAAAAATGTGAAGTGAGAATCTTACCAATGAGTAGTAGGTCTCTGGTACAGAAGTCTTAGTGAAGAGGTGGTACTAGAATCTTGGTCCAAGCTATCAATCAGGTTTTAATTTGCTAGACAAAGAGAACTCAAGCTGTGCTATCTAGGAGTGTTATGTAAGCTAGATTGGACTTTAGAGTCGGGAACCATGCAGGAAGATACTGTGTGATGAAGGCCTGAAACATGCTGGTTATAGTGAGACTAGAAATGGGATAAATCCAGAGCTGTTTCACAGGTAGACTTGCCTGAATATCCTGTCTGACGGAGGATGAATCAGAAAGAAAAGAAGTGGTGATGGGAAACAAGCCTAGATTGACTAGAGAAACTTAGAAATGGAAAAATCGGGAGGGCAAAGTGATTCAGATGATAATGCCATATATTCAGTTGTCCCTGGTGGCAGAATATTATAGTGCAGATATTATACAGGCAAAGACGAACAGAGGGCTAGAGTGTGAAGTACAGGTTTTGAGTTTAAGCATATGAGTGGGCTTAGTGTTCTAGCTGAAGAAAACATGAAGAGGTTATTGCATGTTAGGTATTGTTTGGGAAAGAATAGAAAACGGAGAAATAACCCAGTGGATTAAAGAAGAAACAGACTAAATAAACAAACCCAAGTAAGTTGTTACTAAATTTTATTTTAGAGACAATTCCTCATTTTGCTTTTAGTTTTCTGAATTATTGCCTCACTTTTCTGTTTCTTTCCGTGTCAGCATACATGGAAAAAGGAGTTAATTTTAGATTCAAAACAAAAACTGGAAAAAAAAAAAAGTCTGAAATGGGTAATACCTAGGACATAGTATATATGTGTCATTAGGATTCTATCCCTGAATTTTTAATGCGGTTATCCATTTTTCATGGATTCTTTGTTTATTCCCCATAAGGAATACCTGGGTTTGGAAAGTGGGAAGGTGGATGAGAAAACCCAAGTGACAAATAATGTTTAGTTTATTTTAGAACCAAGTATGAGTTGTGACCCTTATCTTCTGCACTGGGAACTATAGGTTTTTTCAGGATTTTCCAAACAATGTACATACAGTTAATAATACTTTTGTCTCCCTCTAGCCCCTGATAACCACCATTTTACTTTCTGATTTGATGAGTTTGACTGTTTTAGATACCTGATATAAGTAGATTCATGCAATATTTGTCCTTCTGTAACTGGTTTATTTTACTTAGTGTAATGTCCTCAAGATTCATCCATGTTGTAGCATATGACAGGATTTTTTTTAAGGATACATTATATTTGGTTGTATGTATATTGCCACATTTATCCGTTCAACTGTCCTGAACATTTAGGTGGTTGTTAGTGTCTTGATTATTGTGACAAAATAAGTACTTTTAAAAGTCTCACATTTTCAAATCCAATTTGAACCTTTTTTTAGTTTACTTATACTTCCCATGTCAAGCAAGAAAGCATTTTTCTGATTTTCCTATTACTAGGAACAGTGGAGATTAAATGTCTCATATGTTTTTGGGAGTTCTAGAACCCCACACATTACCTGTTCCTTCCCATACTACCATAACTGATGCTCTCTGGAGAGTGCCCCCTCCTGGCAGGAAGCCAACCAGCACAAAAATAGTGTATTAAACCAGCAAAGCGAAGACCCCTCATAGAGTCTAGTTTACCCTCCTACCACCTCTACTGGAACAGGTGCTGTTATCCTGGCTGAGAGACCCACAGATGGTTCACATCACACGACTGTGTGCATACTATACCCCAGTACCAGCCCGGAGCCTGGTAGACTTACTGGGTGGCTAGATCCAGAAGAGAGATAACAATTACTACAGCTTAGCTCTCAGGAAGCCACATCCATAGGAAAAAGAGGGAGAGTACTACAGTAAAGTAACACCACTTGGGACAAAAGAATCTGAACAACAGCCTTCGGCCCTAGACCTTTCCTCTGACAGAGCCTACCCAAATGAGAAGGAATCAGAAAACCAACCCTGGTAATATGACAAAATAACATTCTTTAACACCTCCAAAAAAATCACATGAGCTCATCAGCAGTGGATCCAAACCAAGAAGAAATCCCTAATTTACCTGAAAAAGGATTCACTAGGTTAGTTATTAAGCTAATCAGGGAGGCACCAGAGAAAGGCAAAGCCCACTGTAAGGATATCAAAAAAGTGATACAAGAAATGAAGGGAGAAATATTCAATGAACTAGATAGCATAAATAAAAACAATCAAAACTTCAGGAAACAATGGACAAATAGAAAACCAAAATGCTCCGGAAAGTCTCAGTAATAGAATCAAACAAGTAGAAGAAAGAAATTCAGAGCTTGAAGACAAGGGCTTTAACCCAGTCCAACAAAGACAAAGAAGAATATGAAAATATGAACAAAGCCTCCAAGAAATCCGGGATTATGGTAAACAACCAAACCTAAGAATAATCGGTATTCCTGAGGAAGAAGAGAAATCTAAAAGTTTGTAAAACATATTTGGGGGAATAATTGAGGAAAACTTCCCCAGCCTTGGGTAGGAAGGGGGTGAGGGATAAAAGACTACAAATTGGGTGCAGTGTATACTGCTCGGGCGATGAGTGCACCAAAATCTCACACATCACCACTACAGAAGTTAACCAACACCAACATATGAGACATTTATTTATTTAAGCACAAACATACAAGACATTTGTTTATTTATTTCCGTAGGTTATTGGGGAACCTATGATAATATATAAATGTTTCATGTTTGTGCTTAAATTGGTCTTTAATACTTGCCTTTCAGTATTCAAGTTTGGATTATAAAATAGTTTTGGTCTGTTTGTACTTTCTACTCTAAGCCTATTTGATTATATAATGGTGAGTAAAATTGTTAGGCCAGATATGTGGTTCTAGGAAATTATGTAAAGCTGTGCTGTAGTATATTCTTTTCTACATTTTTTAAAGTCATTTTGAGCTTGGATTTTGAGCTTCTATTTCTCAAGATGGGGTTTATGCTTTTATAATGTTATACTTAGCCCTTGTTTATTTTCATCTCTGAGTTTGAAATTGTGGTTATATTGGCAGAGGGAGGTTGGGGTTTTAATTATGTAACCTGTTAGAGGAAATGTTAAGCTTCTGTTTCTTTAGGGTAGGCAGTGAGAGATTTATCAAGATAAGGAAGAAAAATAAATCCTAAAGTTAATATTCTATGCACGGTGATATCACCCATACTAAAGCCAAAGAGGGCATTATCCTATCATTCTCATCTCCAAGAACTCTCTTGGCACATGCTTATTCAGTTAGAGATAAGCCAACCCTTTCTTTTGTATATATTTTTTAAGAGAACAAATTTACTTTGCTTTTGAGTTTTACTCCTGGCTCTGGGTAGCTTATTTTTTTTAGCCTTATTTTCCCCAATTTATGTGGAAATAGATATCGTCACTCCCCAGGATTGTTGTAACAAGTAAGTGAAAAGGTGAAATGAGGTGACTCAGGAAAAAATACCTAGCTCTGTGTAGTCGGTACACTGTATGTGTTACAGTCATTCTTATTGCTGAGAATCCACAAAAGAATGAGTTAAATAATGAGGACCCTTTCATCAGGGTTTTTGAGTAAATTTTTTAAAATAGAAGGTAGTATTTTGTGTAAATACTAAACCCATTGATCACCTCTGCAGAATGTAGGAAACAGAGTTGCTAATTCCAAAAAAACAGCATATATGTTGAGAAAAATATACATAATATATATGGCTTAGGCAATGTAAAATTTCATGAATATGCTCCTTTTCATCTTAAAACTTGTGATTAAAAAAAAAAACGTTGACATTACTATAAAGAATTATTATTGATTATTTCTCTTGATTTACAGAGTATTGTTACAATCACATTTGAAGTACCAGGAAATGCAAAGGAAGAACAGCTTAATGTATTTATTCAGGTAAATTCAGTTAAAAATTGATTAATGATTTTAACTGATTAATGATTTATCAACAGTTTTGTTACATAGTTGTTGCTATTAGCAATGGTTGGTCTTATTAAAATATGTCACTTGATACAGAATCTCCTGTGGGAAAAGACTGTGAGAAACAAGGACAATCACTGCATGGAGGTCATAAGGCTAAAGGTACAGTAGACTTTTAGACAAAGTCCTTTTTCTGGCTGTTATAAAAACTATATTTGGTTCTAAACAGAAACACTGGTTTTAGTACAAATAACCTTTGTCTGCTTTCATTTTTCTTTATTATTTTCATTGCTGAAAAGGAGCTTTGGAAATCACTGCATAAGGCATGATTTATTTGCACAGCTTCCTTTAGGGTTGCAGATAGAACAACCTATATGCTTTGAAATGTCACCTTCTGCTCTGTATTTCCAGGTACAGAAAAATAATGTTGCAAATCTTGCTGCTGCTGAACATTATGCTTCTCGATGCATTTAGCAGACACTAAACGTTTGTCATACTCTAAACAAAGTTGCAAAGGACTAGAAGAACTCTTGTTCTGTGTTTAGAAACCCACTCATATGACTTGATATTTGGGTATTTATGTCATGAAAGGTGTCTCTTCCAGGAAGCAGTGGTTCTAGGTGTTTGCTTAACCAGTCAGTTGTTGAGTGTCTACTTTTGTGTGTCCACAAAGTTTTTGGTATATTAAGAACAATATTTCAAAGAAATTAATTTCATCCCCATAGGAGCCAATTTATCAGATAATTTGTTTCTCATTGCTACAAATCAACACAAAATGAGCTTTTATTCAGATAGATATAATAGTTTTTCTTTATTTCATCATTGTCCATTGTTTGCAACCTATTTCTAAAACAGATTGTTTAATATCACCAAAATCCTTTAATTTCTCAACTTTTCCCACTAATACTGCGAAACACTACATAAAATCTTTAAAATAATCCATAGGATATAATACATTACATATTTTGTTTCAGGTTTTGATTGTGATAAGTAACAGTGACAGACCATCCTAATATATGTATTCACTTTATCATTAGAAAAAGGGGTTGTTCAAAAAAATCAATACACAGAAACCTTTTTTGAAAACTAAAAATTTTAAGAAATTTTTATAATTCACAAATAATTGGAATTAAGTAATTTTCTCAGCTTAAGAGTTTGTATTTTTAAATGGATATCAATAATTAATCCATTAACATTGATGCTCTATTTCTGCTTTTAAGTTTGAGCTGAGGCTGATTAATGTTCAGTCAATTCTCCTTGAGCAGGGATTGGTGTCAATCAAAGACAAACCACAACAAGTGATTGTCCAGGGTGTCCATGAGCTCTATGATCTGGAAGAGACTCCAGTGAGCTGGAAGGATGACACTGAAAGAACAAATCGATTGGTCCTCATTGGTAAGTAACAAAGGATTAACACTCCTAAAACAAAGTGAGAAATATGTTTGAAAGGGATATCATGTGCCACTTAAACAGTATCCTCTTTTATAGCTAAGCTTATGGTCAATGTTTCGTCTTTATCATGTTATAACATTCATAAGAACTTGTTAGGCCTTTTGTTCTCTTTCAGTTTTAGAAAAGTGATTAATCTAAGCACCAATGTAGTTTTGATGCACTTAACTAAAAAGTTAAAGATGGAATCACTCAATTACTATTCTTTTTGTAAATTTCTAAACATCATAAAGCTTTTTAAAAATTGTAATTGATAGGTGAACTGTGTCATTTTAATAAGCATAACGTAATCACATCATATTTTGTTTTGTTTGCAGGCAGGAATTTAGATAAGGATATCCTTAAACAGCTATTTATAGCTACTGTGACAGAAACAGAAAAGCAATGGACAACACATTTCAAAGATCAAGTTTGTACATAACACTAGAAGCATTTCTTATCAAAAGGATTAGAAAATAAAGATAAGTTTCTACTGGGTATATTTCAAGCATTTATTACTTTATTATGAATTCCAATATACTTTAAAATGGTATTTATTTTATAGCTTACATAAAATTTAGCAAATCTGTACTGTAAAACATTTGACATTCATACAGTTATATATACTGTCCTCTTTTTTTTTTAAGAATGGCATTTCACAAAAATATCTTTTGAAATTGGCTTTGGAGTTTACATATACTGAACGTAAAAATTTATAATGATGATAAAACTTTCAACATTGTCATTTTTTTCTCAGAACTTCAGCTGATTGCAGAGAGATATAATGATTATGTTGTTATTAAATTTTTTTTAAAACAAATAAATGTCACCATTTTATTACGTGAAATAAAAGATTTGTTGTGGCAAGAGACTTTCAAAAGTGGAAGAAGTCTGGGTCAAAGAAATTAAACTATCTCTTATTCTTAATGCTAAGCCTTATTGGTAGTCAGTGTAATGAAACTTCGGCCATTTATTTTATAATGTATTTAGAAGAATTCAATTGTAGAGCTTTTAATTTTAAGTAGATTTTACTACTGGTATTAAATTCATCTTGGTTTTTGAACTTCTTTAGTTTTCAGTATAAGCTAAAAAGTGATGAAGTACATGGCTTTAGCTATATTTAGCTAAGTTACAAAATAAGTTTTCATAGTTTAACAATATTTTTCAAAACTTTGTTTTTTGTTTTTTGTTTTTTTTCTTTAGAGAGACAGGGTCTTGTTCTGTTGTTCAGGCTAGAGTGCAGTGGCATGATCATAGCTCATTGCAGCATCAAGGTTCAAGTAATCCTCCCACCTTGCCTCCCCATTAGCTGGTACTACAGGCACATACTATCATACCTGGCTAATTAAAAAAAAAAAAATTTTTGTAGAGATGGGGTCTTTCTGTGTTGCCTAGACTGGCCCCAAACTCCTGGCCTCAAACCGTCCTTCCACTATGGCCTCCCAAAATGCTGGGATTACAGGTATGAGCCATGATACCTGGCCATAATCTTTATATAAATGGTTGGATAATGGCTCACTTTCTCCTATTCCTATTAAAGGCCACATAACTGTACCCAAATTGTAAGAGGAAAGCATAGGTGGAATTTAAGGAGTACTTTTCCAAGCTAATGGTTGGTAGATATCAGAGAAGGCTATTAAAATTGCTTTTGGAATTTTTTTCCCCAGAGTTTTAAATAAAGGAGTTAGATTTGTGTATTTTAAATGGTTGCAGTGGTCAGAGGCAGAAGGCTAATTGATTAAATTATCTCAGTTTGGGTATTCTTGTTTTCTTTTGGGTCTACCAGTGAGATTGCTAATTCTGATCTTCCTTACTCTCTATTCTATAGCTTTTTAATATAACTTATCTGTATACATACAATTGTCTCCTGAATCCATTCTCTTAATTCATGGTTGAGACACTACACTTCTTTTGTGGCAGCAAATTGCCCAATAGAAAGCCAGCTGATTTTCGAGTAAGATCTGGGCTTTAATTCCAGCTTTTCTGCTTCTTAGCTGTGTAATCATGGGCAAAGTATTGTATTTACTCTACCTGACATTACTTTCCTTACTTGGGGTAATGATAGTAACACCATTCAAGGATTAAATAGGTTTGTAATGCACTCAGCTCGGCTCCTGGAACATAGCAGAGCTAGGTAAATGCTTTCCTCTTGCTAATAAGTTAAATTTTTTTTTTTTTTTTTTTTTTTTGAGACCGAGTTTCGATCTTGTCGCCCAGGCTGGAGTGCAGTGGCACAATCTTGGGTCACTGCAACCTCTGCCTCCCAGGTCAAGTGATTCTCCTGCCTCAGACTCTCGAGTAGGGATTACAGGCGCCTGCCACCATGCCTTGCTAATTTTTTGTATTTTTAGTAGAGATGGGGTTTTGTCATGTTGGGCAGGCTCATCTCAAACTCCTGACCTCAGGTGGTCCACCCGCTTCAGCCTCCCAAAGTGCTGGGATAAATTTGTTTTATAATTAACTATAGTCACAACAATACTTAATATTCTTTAGCAAACCAGTAAGTGTCTAGAACTGTTGTTCTAGACCATGAAAAGGAGCTTATAAGTAGTTGGCCTCTTATAGGAGAAATATTTGATATAATATTAATCTGTGCTCCTGAAAACCTGTGTTTATAAAACTGATAAATATATTTGTTTTTCCTTTAAAACAGGGGTGTCTAATCTTTTGACTTTCCTGGGCCACACTGGAAGAAGAAGAATTGTCTTGGGCTGTACATAAAATACATTAATAATAGCTGATAAGCTAAAAAAAAAAAAAAAATCACAAAAACATTTCATAATGTTTTAAGAAAGTTTACAAATTTGTATTGGGCCATGTTCAAAGCCATCCTGGGCCACATTTGGGACGAAGGATGGACAAGCTTTCTTTTAAATGTATTAAATTAATCTTTAAATATTTTTAATTATATAAGTATTGCATAAATATATTTTTGTTGTAAAAATGATGCCCATCACTTTTTAGGACAAAGCCAAAGTTCTGTCCTTTAAGACATTTCTTTTCACTTTCACATCATATTTCCCAGAGTGAATTATTTTTCAATGATCAGAGCCGTAGTTTAGGCTGCTGCTTCAGGAAACACAGAAGCTTGCCATAGAGATCTTCAAGGGAGGGTTTTAATTTTATAATATGTATGTGTTTTAAAACATTTTTAAAATGTATTATAATTCAGTTTCTTTCAAAAACAAAGCAAACTTAACTGTTAGTCTTAGGTCTTTTCATGATAGTACATATAAATCCGTCTTATTCTTTACTGAGTGAAAATTCATAGTTTAGCATAGAATGCATTCATTGTATTAAAACCATTTATTGAGAGCTTCATTTGCCTTCATATTAGTTCTAGGGGTGAAACTGCACACAACAGATAAAGGGCAGCTTCTCATATCGCTTACATTCTGGTGGAGGGACATAAATAAATGAAAAAATAGAAGGTAGCTTTAAGCTGGCTAATAAAAATAAAGATCAACTTTAGATTGAGTGGTCGTGGAAGGCCTCTCTAAGGAGAGGTGACTGTTAAGTTGATAACAGAATTAAAAGAAGTAGTAATTCATACAAAGTAGCGGAAGAGACTCTACACAGAGGGAGCATACAGGGCAAAGGCCCTTTATTTGGGCACCAACATAGTGTGTTGGGAGACCAGGAAGAAGGCAAAGATGGTGGAAGGTTAGAAAGTGAGGATATGAGATAAAATTGGAGTTAATGAGCCGGGGCCAGGTTTCTTGCTCCTGGCAGGACAGAGCAAACATTTGGATTATTTTTGATGCCCTGGGAAGTGACTGAGGGATTTTAAGCTGGGGAAGTGATGTGAGCTTGATTGCTGAACAAAGAGACACACACAAGAAGTTGTTTCTGTTTTTGAAATTTTGAATAGTGCTTCAGTGAACCTTGTGTGTGTCTCTTTGTTCTTAGGTGTGAATGTTTCTCTAGAATAGGTAGATACATAAAAGTGAAAGCACCGGCTTCTAAAATATGCACATTTAAGATTTTTAATAGATACTGATGAATGGCCATTCCAGACAACTGAACCTTTAGCTTTCATATAGTAGTGTAGGAAAATACCTGTTTTTCCAAGCCCAACTAGCACATTTTAACTCTTGCCAATCAGGATCTCACTGTTTTATTTTGGTTTTTAAACTGTATCTTTAATGTTGTTTATATATTTTTAGTGTGTGTTGTCCTGTTCATTATTCTTATTGTTTTCAAAATGAAGTATTTTCCAATGATCATAGCCATAGTTTATTTAACCTGTATCTTCAGGAGACTTTGGAACTTAATATAGATATCCTGAAGAGAAGGTTTATTTTTATAATGGAATCATGACAATAATGTGGGCCATTATTTTGCTTGCTATAGGAGACTTGCAGGAAATGATGATGATGATGATGATGATCAAGGTTTCATCCAAAACTTTATAGTTTACTGAGGGATACAAGATAAATTATTAAATCTCTCTGAGCCTTTGCTTCCTTATTCATAAAATGGAGATAACAAATGCACATCTCTCTGAATTGTTCCAGCGATTAAATTTAAGGCACCCTGAATACAGAGTCTCAACAAATGTGGATTTCCCTTTTCCAGCAAGGCTTGATGTGCAATTCAAGCTTCTGCACACCTTAAAACAAATGGGCCTTTCTGAGGCTTTCACCAGCTGTGAGTGAAAGGGGCAAGAAAATTGGCACTGATTTTAAGATAGCTGTAGGGAGTGTTAGCACATGGCACAGGGGAAGACCAGGTGATTGAAAGGGTCACTTTGGTAAAGGAGCTTGATGCCTTTCAGTTTTCCCTCTCTCAGCAGCTATCAATAATGTGTGAGTTAGAACAGACCCTCCAAATAGCTCATTTTCTCTTGTTACTGCTAAGCAGACTTGGCACCCGAAGGGCTTTTAATTATCTTCTTTTCTTGCTACCCAGAGTTGTTTTTCTGATTGCTTGCTTCAAACATATATATTATTTTATTGTTTAGTCTTCTTACAGATTTGTGGGTAAAAATTGAGAATAAACAAAAATATCTTTTTTCCTAGAGTCTATAATCCCTAGATAGTGAATTTTGAAGGCAATTGTCAACAAAATAAAGCTAAAAGCAATATTTTAAAGCAATAGTGATCAATACTTTGTAACATTATGGGCTTAGCTGCTTTCCACAAATTGAATAATTGTTTCCTTTGGATTAATGGTATAGTAGGGAAAGTTTATTTTTAAATTGCTTTGAAATGACTTTCCCAGTTTTAGAAATGTATACATTAGTGCAGTTGATATGGAAAAAAAAGTGAATTCTATCTTCAAATGTCTGGAAACTCACCCTGCTTTGATGAGGAGAGATATGGTAGAGTTCTCAGAATGTATCTTAATATTAGAATCAACCTTACCTTTAACCCTGATGACCAAATTGTGTTTAATTTTTAGGTTCAAATAGAAATATGACATCATCATCCTTCTTGTAGATTAATTTAGAAAGGTTTGTTTTTCAAAGCAGAGGACATCTTATGAACCCCTGATATGTTTGTTCTGAAAAACAAAAAACAAAACAAAACAACTATTCAACCTTAGAAGTAACCACCAAACATTACTGAGTGCCCACTATGCACGAGGCCACGTGTTCAATGTTGCAGGAGCTACAAAATAAGTCTTGATTCCTTTTTTTTTTTTTTGAGACGGAGTTTCGCTCTTGTTACCCAGGCTGGAGTGCAATGGCGCGATCTCGGCTCACCGCAACCTCCGCCTCCCGGGTTCAGGCAATTCTCCTGCCTCAGCCTCCTGAGTAGCTGGGATTATAGGCACGCACCACCATGCCCAGCTAATTTTTTGTATTTTTAGTAGAGACGGGGTTTCACCGTGTTGACCAGGATGGTCTCGATCTCTTGACCTCGTGATCCACCCGCCTCGGCCTCCCAAAGTACTGGGATTACAGGCGTGAGCCACCGCGCCCAGCCTAAGACTTGATTCTTAAGGCAACACTATGGAATTGATGGGATAGGACAGTAAGAGTTCCTTTCTTCTTTTTTCTTGTTTAGAGTAATGTGCCATTATGGAATCTTTCCAAAGCATTCAACTTTTTATTGCTACAGCTCATTGTTTTTACATTGATATATTTGGTATAACAACTTTATTTAGATATAATCCACATACCATAAAATTTATCATTTTTAAGGGGTACAATTCATGATTTTTAGTATATCCACCATTGAGTCTATCTACTGTACACAACTATGACCAGTGTCTAATTCCAGAACATTTTCACCACCTCAAAAATAAACCCTGAATCTCTTAGCAGTCACTTGCTGTTTTCCCCTGCCCTCATCCCCACTCTACTTTCTGTCTCTATAGATTTGTCTATTTAGACTCCCTTCACATAGCACAATGTTTTCAAGATTGATCCATGTTGTGACGTGTCAGTACTTCACTGTTATTGCTGAAAAAATTTCATTATATGTATATACCTCATTTTGTTTATCCATTCATCATCAGATGGACACTTTAGTTTCTTCTGGGCTGTTAGGTCCTTCCCCACCCATGTTTAATTTTTTAAATTAATAGAATGTATTTTTAGAACAGTTTTAGATTTACAGAAAAATTGAGCAGATAGTACTGAGTTCCCATCTATTCCCCCCTACACACACTAACAAAATAGTAGTATGGGACATTTATGTTACAATTATTGAACTAATATTGACACATTATTATGAAAGTCCACAGTTTATTCAGATATCCTGAGTTTTTAACCTAATATCATTTTTGTGTTCCAGAATCTCATTTAGGATACCATGTTACATTTAATAGTCATGCATCCTTAGACTCCTCTTGCCTGTGACAGTCTCTTAGAATCTCCTTGTTTTGATGAACTTGACAGTTTTGAGGAGTATTGGTCAGGTGCACAAGATGCTCCTGTGTTGGAATTTGATGTTTTCCTCATGATTAGGGGTTTTGGAAGAAAAATCACAGAGAACCATTTTCATCACATCATACCAAGGGTATATGTTATTACCATGATTTATGACTATTGATGTTGACATTGACGACCTGATCACCTGGCCGAAGGGGTGTTTGTCAGGTTTCTCCACTGTAAAGTTACTTTTTCCCCCCTTCTATGTCCTGCTTACGCTAAAGGAATGGGGAGTTGCAGTCTACTTTTTTGGGAGTGGAGTGGCTACATAATTAGCTGAAATTTTTCCTCAAGGGAGAGTTGTCTCTTTCCCCTTGTTTATTGATTCAATCATTTATGTTTATCAGTGTGGATACATGAATACTTTATATTTTGGGTTACATTTTAATTCTATGTTTTGTTTCTCAAATTATCCCAGCTTTGGCCATGGGGAACTCTTTCAGTTTTCTCCTGTGTCCCCTTTGAAATACCCCCATCAATGTGGGTTTTGTGTTTTGTTTTGTTTTTGAGTACCTCCTTATTTTTCTCCTTTCATTTTTAAATAACTCCAATCCCTATAGAAGTTGGGGCTAGAAAAACTTAACAATGCTCCCTATCGCAGGTCATCCAGTTCCTATGCTGATGGAGGAAATGTGCCTCACCCGCAGAGGGCTGGGGAGGAGGCATCTGGGATTATTGTGGTTGAATAAGACACCTGTCCTGGCCCTCCTGGAGGTTAGTTTAGTAGGTCACACAAGTAGTCATTGGTAACTTTGGGATTCAAACAAATCTGTTAGGCTCAGACCTGCCTGTTACTTGTCCTCCAAGCTGCATATAAACTGAGGAGCCTTAAAGGGTAAAAACTTCAGGAGCCAAGAAGACAAAAGTTTTAAAACAAGATTTGCAAGAAAGCTGTTTTCCAGATTTTATTCTGAAGGCACTAGCTACTTTAAGCTATTTTTTGTTATATTTTGCCCTTGTAGTTGGCTTCTGATTTCTTACTGAACATTCATTGTCATAATTATAGACACTATGTGACAATCAATGGCATATTTTGTGCTGCATTTTTATTAAATGGCACCCCGAATTTTTCCCAAGTAGGTAGGTTTTAAATTATGAATATATACTGTGACATAGTATCTTACTTAGTACAGTACTCTAATAAGATTCTTATTTATATAACAAATATTAAGTTTTATTCCTCTGTAGTGCTACTTTAGACTATGAGCTAATTTAAATGAAGCCAATCTAAAAATCGTGTTACTTCTAAGGATGTTGAGTAAGTTGAACAATTCCGCTGCCATATCACCCCTCCCCAGTGCAGATTGTGAACGAGAACCCACTGATTTAAAGACAACACTGCAGCCCCTTCTTGCCTCATTGAAGTTCCTAGTTTTATCATTACAGTAAAAGCACTTAATGTTGGCACTTCTGACAGAATGAAGGAAGAGCCAGAACCAGGCAGAGTAGTGTGAGCCTGTAATCCCACCTACTCAGGAGAGTGAGGCAGGAGGATCACTTGAGCCCAGGAATTCAAAGCCAGTCTGGGCAACATAGACCTTGTCTCTAAAAATGAAATGATTAGGAAGGAAAGAAGGAAGGGAGAGAGAAGCCATTATAGACTGGGTGTATCTTTTCTATGTGGAGCCATTTTGTAAGAACAGCATTTTTTCAAACTGGGCCCGTACTGGTACGTGTGAAATCAGTTTAGTTGGTTATGACCATATTTTTAAAAAGAAATATCAGTAATCACTATAGTGTAATTATATTGTTATGTGAAACCCATCTTAGATACGTATGTCTGTATGTGCAAGATTGTGATATAAAATGCATTTCTTACTGTGGTTAAATAGTCAAAGAAGTTGGAGAACCATTACTGGAAGGGGACAGAGGACTCCACGTGAGCTCTTCTGCCTTCCCTGAATGAACTTCCACAACTTAATGCTAGGACATTTCAACCTTTTCTAAAAATTAGAGTCGGAGAACATCTTGGGGAGGAGAGGAAAAGGTAAAAGCGGCAAAGCAACACCCTCGCACCCCACCTCAAACCCCCCATTCAGCTTGGGAATGTTGTCAGAACCTTAAATATAATTCAGCTCACCATTCTGGATAAGGACAGACTCTACCAAAGAAAATGGGTAATTACCCAGCTGTGAAACACGAAAACGTACTTTTACGGCTACACATTCCTTTACAAACCACTGTGTACACTTCAGCCTCCCCGCCTTCTGCCCACCCAGCCGCCATTTCTTTTCTCCAGGAGAGAAAGCTGCATGTCTAAGTGGTCATAGATTGTTGAGTATCATACTTTCCTACCTCGTTATTTGCGTGGTTTTAATTGTGCCTTAACAGAACCCATGCAAAGCCCGGCCAACTAGCGCTGCGCTGGACGAGTGGAGCATCTTCCTTGGTGGCAGGTGGGTGCGAGGAGGAGGGGGCTGGGCTTTTATCAGGTCGGATATTTGCCCAGCAGACCCTCATCATTGGACTGCGTCAGGAGGAAGTGGCACCACTCCGAGGTAGGGGAAGAAGGATTATAAAGGGGGAGTCCACCACACATGGTCTTGAAGAAGCTTTTATAAAAGACAACGTGCATACTTTGCTGGACGTTGTTGGAAAGGAGTAGAAACAAGCAGACGAAAACATCCCAAAGGGTAACCACTAGTGTTCTTGCAACATTCATCCCAGGCTTCCAGCCCAGCCCACCCCAGGCCAGGTGATCGGCCGCCACATCCCCTGCGACTGAAGAACCTACTCCTCCATGGACTTGCCAAGAGCTGAGCGCCTTCGTTCCACACTGCAGCGCAGCCTCCGGGACTCCGATGGGGAAAACGGTAAAATCAATGCCCTGGGAGAGGAGGTAAATGAAGACGAGGAGGAGGAGGCAAGCCAGCAGTTCCTAGAGCAGCAGCCCCAGCCGGGGCTGCAGGTGGCGCGGCGGGGCGGGGGTGAGCTTCCCAGAGAGCACAACGAGGGCGGTGGCGGCCCGAACGACCCCTCGGACTTTGGCACCAAGTTCAGGATACCGCCGAGGTATGCGGCGGCCTCTGGAGACGCCCCGCAGCCGGCAAAGCCCCCCTACTCGTACATCGCGCTCATCACCATGGCCATCCTGCAGAGCCCACACAAGCGCCTCACGCTCAGCGGCATCTGCGCCTTCATCAGCGGCCGCTTCCCCTACTACCGCCGCAAGTTCCCGGCCTGGCAGAACAGCATCCGCCACAACCTCTCGCTGAACGACTGCTTCGTCAAGATCCCCCGCGAGCCGGGCCACCCAGGCAAGGGCAACTACTGGAGTCTGGACCCCGCCTCCCAGGACATGTTCGACAATGGCAGCTTTCTCCGGCGCAGGAAGCGTTTCAAGCGCCACCAACCGACCTCGAAAGCCCACCAACTACCCCACCCCTTCCCTCTACCCGCTGCTCCGGCCGCCCTGCACAACCCCCACCCGAGCCTTCTGCTTGGGGCCCCTGCTCCGCCGCAGCCTGTCCCGGGGGCCTACTCCACCGCCGCGCCCGGGAGACGCCCGTGCGCTCTGCTGCACCCGCATCCTCTTCGCTACCTACTGCTCTCGGCCCCCGCCTATGCAGAGGCACCGGGGAAAGCAGAAGGCGCGGACCTGGTGACCCCTGGCACCCTTCCGGCTCTGCAGCCCTCGCTAGGTCCCCAGCCTTGGGAGGAGGGCAAAGGTCCCGCGTCGCTACCAGGAGGTGGATGCATCTCTTTCAGCATTGAGAGTATTATGCAAGGGGTCAGGGGCGGCGCTACAGGGGCTGCGCAGAGTTTGTCCCCGACCCCGTGGAGCTACTGCCACCTGCTGCAGCGCCCATCATGCCTGTTGCATCCCCAGAGCGCTGCCCCTTTGCTGCACGTTTCCGCCGCCGCCGCTGCTCGGACAATTTTGCAGCAACAGCAGCAGCATCAGGAGGAGGACGTCTGCGCGGACGGCTGCGCTCCCACCAAGGGCGCGGTGCTGGGAGCGAACCTGTAGGCCGCTTCTGCGCTGCTTAGGTACCAGGCAGTGGCAGAGGGCTCTAGGCTGACTTCGCTGGCTGTCCCTTTGGGTGGAGAGGGGACTTCACCGGCTTTCTGAGTAGCACCCACGCCCAGTTCCCTGGCCAACTCCGCAGGGCGCTCCAAGAGCTAGGTTGGAGGGCGGAGCGACCCGCAGCTGCTCATTCCACCTTGCGCGGCCCAAACTGGGCCTGTGCATTTTTGAATCGCGCTGCAGAGCAAACACAAACTTCTGTTCGCTGCAAAATGATTAGAAAGGAACAGCTGGATTCCGTTCCTCTAAAGACCACCTGAACGTAAACTTCGGAGGGCGTCAAGTCATCTTTTCTTGCCTTCAGTTGTGGTTTCCACGGATTTCCCGATTTGCACATTTCCTGGGGAACTATGAAAGTGAGTGGGGTATTTTGTTCTGGTATTAAAAGAAAAACAAGCAAGCAAACAAAGACACAGCCTCCGACGCCAAACATGTTCCCCCTTCTTCACTTCCTTGGAACTGGAAATATTATTCCGAAGTACAAAATGCGTCCACCCTCTGTGTCTTCCTGATAGGGATGTGTAATGTAAGTAGGATGTTAATTTCAGAACATTGGTATCTGTGTGACTGACGTGCCATCTTTCATGTTAAAATTAAGGTATTAAAATTAAGCCTAGTTATATAGACGAAATAAAATGCTAAGTCACTACACTACATCGTTTATTTTCTATTACGTCTCATTCTTCCCTTTCTAAAATGGAGCTTGTTTAAAACCTACGTTATTTTCTGTTTATTTTTCACAATTCATATTTATCATACATATCAGAAGTAATCCACTTTAATATGGCCTTTAAAAATTCCAAATATTTGAGGTTGAAAAAGTCTTGGCTTTTAAAATAGGAAATTTACTATTTACGAGACCTCCAGAAGAAAAGAATAGGAAGGCATGTAAATACATTCTCCATTTATTTTTTCATCTTTATAAAGACGCTGATTTCCGCCACCTCCCGCCCCCCAACAAGCTGGAAAACTATTTCAGATCAATTTGGAATGTAATGGCCAACACTTACTCGGAGAAAATAAAAGGCAATATATATGTTTTAAAGCACTAGAATTTTCAAAACTTACTTATTTAAAAAATTTCTGAAAGGACTTTGCAACTAGAAAGGTTTAAGTGTTACTCGGAGTCAGGGGCCCGGGATGGGGGGAAACCAGAAAAGAACGCCCATCAGGAATTGCTCCCCAGGAAGGAAGCACATTTCTAGGAACTCAGACGTTTTCCCCGGTCCTGAGTAGGGTTCCCAATTCCGTGCCACTTGGAGCGAAGCCGCTCTGTGAATGTGAGAAAGTTGCTCCTCCAACCCCCATCTACTTGCCACCCTCAGCTATGAATTTCTTATTTCAGGAGGGAGGACGAACATGGAGACCCACATTTTTGCAGTAGTCTAAGTGGCCAATTTTTACCAGGGCTTCTCTTCTCCCTCCCATCCTCTTGCGCTACCTGAGATCCCCTACGGGAGATTTCCTCCGGGCTCCTGCGCTTTTGAGGACCTTCCGGAAAGTTCCCAAGCCCCACCCTTGGTAGCCGCCCTGACTCCAGCTTCCAATTGTTCCCTCTTCTTTGCACAGATAGCCGTCAGCCCCGGAGCACCACCAGCGTCCAAGATAGAACACTTTAGCAAATTCGTCAGGGCTGGAGCAGTTCAAGAGTTTGGAAACAAACTGATAATAGAGGGGTCCTATTTAATGCCACATTCTCTCCGGTTCAAGTTCCAACTCCCCTTTGCCCTTTGTGCGAAACTTTTCCCGGGCCGACCTTTGTTCCTTTATTCAGTCAACAAACGTCCGAGGAGTGCGGCTATAGGCGGCCGCTGAATCCAGAAAGGGCTTTCTCTAAGCTCTCTTGGTACCCTCAGGTCTTTCTTCTCTTGCCCGAGGCAAGATCAACACTGCCAATAAAATTCGAACATGGGTGACTGAGGGTCAGACCCTGGCCCGGGGCCGGCCTTCCGGTTCCTAATTTTTACCTAATGAAACCATATCCAGAGATGAATCTTTAAACAATCGATTCAGTAGCGGAGTAAATTCCTGTTTGGAAGCACCCAGGCGGCGTGGAGAGATCTGGCCTTCGGGTGTGACCCGCAGGGAGTTCCCTCGCGGAACCGGAAGGTCGCCTGGCGCACCGACGAACCCGCCAACAACACCGAGCACTAGCCGGGCAGCCCAGAAGTGGAGGCGCCGCAGCTCCCCTAAGCATGGGCGCGGCCCTGAGGCGCGTAGTGCACGGCGCGGTAACAAGGACCGGCCGCCTTCCTGAAGCCACCGAGCAACAGGCCATACTCTGGATCCCAGGCCGGGTCCCCGTGGTTCTGCACGGACCTCCCGGACGCCTCCCAGATCCCGGGCTTCTGTAATCCTGAGGCCGGGTTTAAAAACCACGGCGCTTGCAAGTTGCGCGAAGAGTCCAGGGTCGAGGGTCGAGGGTGGTCTTCCACCCTGGGGATCATCTTCTCGATGACTGGCTGATAGCCAAGCCTAGAGTTGCACAGGGAGGGGAGCCGAAGAGCTGGAGCCGCGCGCCAAGGGCTGGGAGGAGCGGGGACGCTGGGACAGGGACAGAAAGAAAACTGGGGAAAAGTGACCCCCCCCCCACACACTGTCCTACCTGCTGATAACACTAATAATAATAACAATCTTGGCCGACTATTTCTCCGCTGCTCCCGAAGTGCCAGGCACGGGATCCTCCGTTAGCACTTCCAGAGCACTCACTGAAGAAGACACTGTAGCAAATTCTCCATTTTCCAGACTAGGAATAGGCGACTCGGAAAAATTAAAAAAACTCGCCAGAGGACACTCAGGCAGTAGCACCCTGCCGGGCTTGCTCTCTGAACCACTAACTTCACGCGCGCACGCTACCCTTTCCTACCTGGGCCTCTCGCGGGTCTCAGGGGTCGAAGCCTGACCTGGACCAGGACCCCAGATTCTTCCTCCTGGCCTCTGTCCCACGAGCCCCGGCGCCAGGAAGCGCGTTTCTCTCCCTGAGACCCAGCCCCGTCGAAAGATGCGCGCGGTCAGGTCCCTAACCCCGCGCTCTGGCTGTGAGTTTTCCCGGAAGCCTCTGCGGAGCGTGGGAAAGGCGCAGCCAGACTCTCCCGGGCCGCGCCCCGGCCCACGCCTGCCTAGAGCACTCCGCTTCACCAAGGAGCATTCTGTGCGTCCTTCCTCCCTGGCGTGATTTTCGTTCTTTTTCCTCTCGTGGTCACCTGGAACCCAGGCACCCCTCGACGTAGGCGTCAGCAGTAGCGGAGATCCCTACCCTGGACTCCCTGCGGTCCCGATGCCACCTCCTAATCCCAGCCGCCTACCCAAGGCGGTGGAGTGGGGCAACTCGGTGCTCTGCGCCGCCCCAGGATGCCGGAATTCCTCTCCGTAGTCTTGATCCGGCTATCCGCTTCGTTGCCCCGCGCTGGATCCTGGCAGCCTGAAATGTGTCCACAAGTTGGGCTGTGCGGGCCTGCGGTGAAGGTCCAAGAGACGAGCGGGCAGGGGGACGCAGGCTGTCGCAAGGATTAGCCCTCCGCGGACCCTCAGTTCAGAAGGTCCTGGTCTACAGGAGTGGGGGAGGTGGTGGCCCCTGGAGAGGAGAGAAGGTGCGGGAACCGCTGGACTAGGGTCCCCGGCGGCTGGCTGAAGGCCGAAAGCAGAGGGGCCCGTCGATTGCCAGCAAGTCCCAGGCAGGTGCCGTCTAGTATGGTGGTAACATTCTACAGTCCCGATTCTGTGTACTTTGAGTAGCCAAAATGAATAAAATCTGTTTATATATTGGAATGCAACTGATGATTCCAAAATCTCATCTCCAGGCTGCCTAGATCACATGGCCCCCATTCCTTTCATTTTTTACTTAATAACGGGCCGTTAGAAAATTTAGAGAAACAGAGAAACCACAAGAAAAATAATGGAATCAAATGGCGGTAAGGACTAACAAGGCTGGCAGGGAGATTTGGCAAATGGTGGCTCCTAAGATTTTGCACCAGTCCTTCACCACATTTTATTGGAAGTGTGGGGGAGTCATGGTTCTCATACCTCCCCAGCTTTCAGGAAAAATGCTCAGAAATTTTTTTCCACTTTAACATCTGATTACAGTGTAAATAGTAACCTAATTCTAATTGTTGATGTCACCTCATAATTTCTACAAAAAAGTTTTTCTGGGTAATCACTGAAATTATTTTAATGGATTTTAAGCATTCATTGATTCTGTATACACCACCTGCAAAGAGCTTACATAGGGGATTGCTAACAATACCAAAATTTGCCCCATCCAAAAAAACAAATTAGAGTAGAAAAAGAAAAAGGACTTGAGAATCCAGTATGAAATTCAGTTAAATGTTAGTTCCCTGTTACTCAGCTACCTTAACATTGTCAGGTTTACCTGAGCACGAACTTCATTTTCTTAATCGTTCTTAGCACGCAGGGATATGTTTATTGAAGTCAGTAATTAATAATATTTTGGGACAGTTATGATTTACTTAGCCAGTGAAGCAGTTTCTACTCCCAAATGCAGGCAAAGAGAACAATAAGATTAAACGTAGCCTAAGAGATTTCCTTTTTGTCAAATACTGTGTTTTTGCTATGTATATAGATGTCTATATATAAGGGCATATTTATGACCAGTAGTTCCTAAAATTAAGGGGACTATTATTGTGTTATTCAAGGTATCAGTTGGAAACTTAAAGAAAATATAAGCATTATTTGAAATATGACATAACTTATGTATCTTAAGATACATATGTCATAATGTATAAGATACATATTTTCTTTAAGTTTAAAGAGATTACTGTAATTAACCTCTATTTACTTCTCTGGGCCAACCTTGTGTCATCTTTATCCTCTGACAGTCCTCTCCCCACTGAATTATTTTGGATCAAATCCCAGATATTCTATGATTGTATTCATAAATATTTTTGAATATTTCTCTAAAAGATAATATTTCCATCAGTGAGCTGGGTGCAGTGACTCCTACCTGTAATCCCAACCCTTTGGGAGGCCGAGGTGGGATGATCACTTGAGGCCAGGAGTTCAAGACCAGCCTGGGCAACATAGCAAGACCCCATTTATAAAAAAGAAGATTCCTATCAATGTAACCACAATACTATTATCAAACCTAAATAATCCATTAATAGCATTAAATTATCCAGGCAATATTTAAATATCCTCAGTTATCTAAAAACTTTTTGTGTAGTTGGCTGGTTTGAATTAGAATGCTAATATGGGTTATGTATTGTGTTTGGTTGATATGGTCTATTATGTCTCTTTCAGATTTCCTCAATCCTCTTTTCTTTTTCCTTGCATTTTTGTGAAAGAAATTGGACTCTTTTGAAGAACTTGACACTCTGAACTGTGTAGCTGCAGGTAATAGTTTTTTGGTTTTGTTTTTGGCAAGATATTCCCAGGGATAAGGTCGTTTATTCAGAATTTGAATTAGGAAATAATAATAATATTAGCAAATAATAACATAAGTAAATAATAATTAGAGGGAGAAGGATTAGTCAAAATATTTTGAAGAATCAACTATTGGAAAAACAAATTTTTATCAGAGCAAGCATGGATTTGGGAAAGCTTATGTGAAATTTATCTAAATGCATATACAATTTAAAATTGTAATGTCTTACAATAAAAAAGGTTATTTTCCATATATTTATAAAAATGTAAATTAT